TATTAATCATCTGATTATTGCGGTAGCATCACCGATAGCCAGCCGTTTTAAACCAAATAAACTGCATCAAATAGCCAATATACTCATACCACATCAAAAGAATCAAACAATCCATCAAAAATACCAATGGATCTAACACAATCCATTATTTATCTCATCTCATCTCATTTCATCTCCTGTTCAACTTTTAAAACAATTTCGAAAAATTCCGTAGAGCTTTGATATAAGAACTAATGAGCTTTTAAAAGAAAATAATAATAGTTAATTAGTAAAGCTATTCTTAATTGTTTGAAGGGATAGTATTAAAGAATACAGGCAAGTGCTGTTGGAGCAATGTTATGTGGGTCGTTATAGATCTATTAATTTAATATTTGAAATAAGGTCGTGTTCTTCATTTTATTTTTAAATTCTGAATTTCTAATTCATATTTTCAGGGTGGGAATTTATTACAATTTATATATTGGTTAGTAATGGATATTATAAAGACGAAATCTAATGATTCTGCTTCTAATAAGGTCAAAAGGAAACGTAATAGGATTCCTTTGAGTTGTACAATTTGTCGAAAGAGGAAGGTTAAATGTGATAAGACCCGTCCCCATTGCAATCAGTGTACGAAGACAGGTGTTGCACATTTATGCCATTACATGGAACAATCATGGGCTGAAGAGGCAGAAAAGGAATTGTCAAAGGAGGCAGAATTGAAACAATTGAAGGAACGTGTGAAGTCTTTGAAAGACATGTTAGCAGATTTACAATCCAAGAATATTTATAGAAATGGTAATACTTCTGAAAATTCTACTTCCGGTTCACCTTCTTTAACCGACTTACCAATGAAAATAAAGACTGAAATCAATAATATCTTGCCTATTGAGGCTATTGAAAGGACAAGTTTGACGTTTGGTTATGATACGAAAAATAAGTATGATAACGATGAACTTGATTTAACAAGAAATTTCGATATGTTACATTTGAAAAATAATGGTACAATTCATTTAGGGGCAACCCATTGGCTAGCTATTATGAAAGGTGATCCATATTTAAAGTTACTGTGGAGACATATATTCACAATGAGGGAAAAATTAAATGAATGGTATTCTAAAAAGAAAGATTTCTCAAAAGAGCAAATTAGTAGTGGCCAATGTCCAATTAATCATGGTTCGGCTATCAAAAATGATTCAAAACTAAAAATTGAACAAGCAAAAATAAATTCAAAGTTAAATTTAGCCACTAGAAAATTACTTCCAACTCAACCAGATTTCCATGCTGCTCAAAAAAATAGATATTCTACTAATAAATGCCCAATAGATTATGCAGCTTTAACACCCCCTGGATACCAAGGAATTCTACCAAAGGGAATGCCAAATATTAAAAAATGCCCCATAGATCATTCGCAGTTTAAGAAAGGTAGCCCAGATAATGTTATGCCATCAAGAAAATTAGATGAAAAAATAATTGTAAATAAAAGTATCAAACCAAAATCAGAGAATGATTCATCTCTCCCAACGTTTAATAGATTGAAGTCTAAATGTCCAGTTGATCACAATAGTTTTATACAAAAAGATAAGACACCTCCTGCTACAATGGTGAGCGATATACCATTAACACAAAGAGATGTAATGGATAGATTATCAATATTGCTTCCTCCTGAAGATATAATTCTTTTATATTTAGATTTGTTTTTTGATTGCATGTATCCTACAATTCCTATTTTGGATGAGCAGAATTTTAGAGCCCAGATTGGTAGAATTTTCTACAATATGCCATCCGTATCTCCCGAGTTAACAGAATCAACTCGTTATGGAACCAAAGTTAAACTTAGGTTTAGCAAAAGTGCAGATTATTGCAATACAGGTATACTCCTCATCATTTTAAGACTAGCATGGCTTTCCTTGCCATCCAATTCATGTAAAACAACGTTGGGCCAAGGAACAGGTTTATCTCTTTCATCACCAGTTAACACATCAAGTGCTAATAGAATGAGAATAAATTCAATTCTAAGTAAATATGAACCTTCTGTTGAAGCAATTGAGTTAGTAAAGAAGCATTTAATTAAATTCGATGAACTCTCAAGCACATCTAACAGTAATGTTAGTTTAACGACAATACAGTTTGCAATATTTTTCAAATTATATTTGATGTGCTGTGGAGATCTTCCTGAAGTGAACTTAACTTCATCCCCAAGCTTAGGAGCTGGTCAAGATAATGAATCACATCAGGTTTTATTATCCAGTATTATACAAATGGCATTCAGTTGCGGTCTACATCGAGACCCCGATAACTTCCCACAGTTAAATACATTTTCGAATAGTGATGACACAAATGCCATTTCAGCTGTAACAAAACATAACTCAAAGCTATTGAAGAATGCACAAAATTCGTCTGAAAGATTTAAACATGCCTGGAGAAAAACGTGGTACCATATTATTTCTCTAGACGTACAGCAATCATTGTCACTTGGAACTCCCAGGATTTTAAGGAATTTAAAAGATATAAGTGATACGAAGCTTCCATCATCATCAAAGATCGATTACGTAAGTGATATTAAAGAGTTAATTGTTGTAAAGAACTATACACTATTTTTCCAAATAGATCTTTGTATAATAGCAACATTGAATCATATTTTGAATATATCTATTGCGAAGAATGTTCGGAAATTTGAACTCGATTTATTGATATCCTCACTTCAAGGTTTAACTTATGGAACCAGAAATATATGTGAAGTAATAAATGAGCTAATGAAAAATGGATTACTCTCTTCTGTTGAAGGGAAAGTTGATCAACTATCGGATGAAATTTATACACTACCTTCGATTGATGAAATCATATCTTTGAATAATTCATCAAGTTCTGAATCTGAACAGCATAAAAGGATCGAATCTGGTCCAGAATTTTCTTCAAATGCACTTTTCCTTTCTAAACATATGACAATTCGTATGCTTTTATATCTTTTAAATTATATTTTGTTTACTCATTATGAGCCTATGGGTAATGAGGATCCTGGTACAATTGTATTGGCTAAGCAGTACGCCCAAGAAACACTTAATTATGCAATGGAAGGATATAGATATTGTATGCTGTTTTTTAATACTGTATCCTCATCGAACAAGAACCATTCTATTTTTAATAACATGGACGTAATTCTAGCTCCTTTGTTTTTGGATATCGGAAACAGGGCAATACAATTCATTGTTTGTTTAATCTTGAGAGCAAAGTGTGGTCCACTTACTGGTATGGGGGATACCACTATTTTAGCAAATAATAATACAAGCAATTCGGAGAATGAATCTACTTCCTCTATGGATGAAGAGCACAATTCTAAGACGAACGTAAGTAATAATATTAATGACAAAATTGACATTAATGTTGGAGATAGGTTAGCTGACATGTTAACGGATAGAATGATTTTATTTAATAATTTAACTAAGGAAATTTCTGGCAAATTCCAATATGCATCGAGGTTAACCAAATCTACAGGATTTTTTATTTCACTGTTAAGCAATCAAAAACCTGACTTATCCAAGACGGACTTAAACTATCGTGCAAACAATATTCCCACAAAAGCAGGCATGTCAGGATTTTTCAAAAATATGCCTTCTCTAATATTATCTGGTGACAAAGATAGTCTAAAGAGATGTCCAGTATATCAAGATGCACTTGGATTTGTTAATTTTAAACCTGGGTCTTTAAACAATACCATATCTCCGTTACAACAAGATCAGAAGCAATTAAGTATGGGTACTAAATTACCTCCAATCGTTGCTTATAAACCTGTAACATTTAGCAGGGAAACCACTCCAGTAAATTCATCTCCCGTCGAGTCTGATCATAAAAGAAGAAAGATATCTGTCGAACCTACTGTAGTTAACGATTCAAATGAAACAATTGATGGACCTCTTACTGTCGATGCTACTTCTGATGACAGAAATATAAAGGGGAATCTGAATATGGAACCTTTACCTCCTTTGGATAGCATCGCTGGTGATTTTTCAATTTTACAATCTGTAAACAGTACTGCTGCCAATACCAATGACGATTCCAATGGGGAATTAATTTTAGGTGGAGGCCTAGATGCTATTAACAATCAGTTGTCAAGTGGTTTTGAAAATATTATGGATAGTAATATACAAATATCAAACCAATTTGAAGATTTTTTGCTGCAAAACTCAAATTTCAATGGTATGAGAATTAATCCAAGTAGTATTGTTGAGGCTGTTGGAATGAATTTAGAAAATACAGAAAACAATGGTGAAATTGATCCTGATGACTTTTTGCCAATTGATAATATGGTTATCGAAGGCTTGCCTGACTTTTTAGGATCTGGCTTTACATTATGGGAATAATATTCGCTTACTATTGTACAAAACAACTTTTATTTCAATATTATTTTCTTTTCTGTCTCATTATTATAGCAGCGACAACAATTTATAAAGGGAGCTTTGAAAGATTCACGATGACAAGAACTATAAAATTCTAAAAATTAAGCTAAAGATCCAAAATTGTCATGAACTATAAATAAATTGGTTTATAAGAAATGGATATTGCAATTAATGGCACACGGGTTTAATGAATTTCTTTTAAAAAGTAATAAAATTTAATGATAATGATATCCTAATAGATTTATGAATATGAAAAGTTGAAATTATTATTTTTTTCATTTTCCAAAATGAACCAACATAAAGATAGAATTAACTAAACGAAAATGCAAATAATTATAAAAAAAGGTATAACTCATTTTATGATGAATATATTCAGTAAATAAGTACTAATTTTTTATGTAAATAGTAAAATCTATAATGTATAAATTTCCGATGCAAACCTAACGCCTGACTTATCTGCATATTTATTTGCAGATTCTACCAAAGTACTTGGACCACAGGCTAACATCCAGGTATTATCAATATCATTATCATGTTCTACAAAAGTTGATAAATCTGTTGTCCATTCAATTCTTCTTCCAAAATTAACGGAACCAAAGATATATGGCCCTATTGAAGATGGGTCTTCAGGAGTTAGATCTTCTAATTCGTAGCCAGACCCAGATGAGTCTTCAATGCCTGAGCTTTTACTTGAATATTGGGTAATAAACACATGGAAATTAGATGTGAAATTTTTATCTTCTAAATCATATTTTAAAGAATTTAATTTTTCTAGTATTTTAATTTGTGATTTATCTTTAACCATCCAGATTAAACGTAGGTACTCAATGCTTCTTTGATTCCTTTCGATAATTTCAGAGAAGTATCTATAAAGAGGTAAGCCAAAAGAGATCCCAGTACCACCGCAAACGATACAGACCCTTTTACTTGAGTTTAAACATGCAATTGGAACTGAAGGGTTGAATTGATTGATAATTGTATAAGATCTTTCCATATGTAGTCTGAATGCAAACTTTTTAATATTTTCAGTCAAAACTAAATCGACAGAGTCATCAGAAGGTAATGAAACCACAGTGTATGGATGAGAAGGTAGTAGCCAATATAAAGGGTTAAAGAATTGATATGGACTGATTCTGATGTGACAAGCTGGAGTGAAAGTTTCTGGCAATGCAGAACGTGGCAATCTAATTGTTACCAATGAAGAATTATTGTCATAATTTGGTAAAGTTTCCTTTGCTAATAATTCAGATTTTTTAATAAAGAAGATTTTATTAAATGCAATCGCCAATAGCAATATCGAATTTATGATTAGATATGGAATTGCAACACCAGGCCTAGCATGAATTGGAGTTAAAAATATTAGCATTACATTTGATATATTGTGAATGATGTAGAAAGACGTGTAACTAAATCTTCTAAAGGGACCAATTGATAAACATATCAATAGTAATGATGGTATTAGCATAATTAAACCTAATACATTTTTAGGATTTTGTAATTTAATTGCAATTGAAACGTTTTCATCACTTGAAGAACTCCAATGAGACAAAAACAATATACTATGAAGGATAGCAATAAAAGTAATGAATCTTGATAACCATTTATGAATTGGTATGAAATCAGTATAAGTGCATTGGGAAGGCAAGAACCAATTTGGTTTTAAAGTTAGGAATAAATTCAATGGTATCAAAGTATAACTCAATCTTCCTAATCTTTTATAATAAACAGTCAATTTGTTTAGATGTGGTTGATAGAAGGGTATAAATATTGCAATTAATAATATTGATAAATGAATAAATGGGTTTAATGAATATAATTTTTTAAAGAATCTTGTTGACCTTGTAGTGATCTTGGCATAGTTTCTTAAACAGAATAATAGAATAATATATATTATCGATAAGAACAAAATATAATAACCATAGTTGATATTAGCAAAATGTGTACTACCATGTCTTTTAACTAGTTCATCCATGATGAGTTATGATAGATAGGTAGGATAGGTTGGCAAACAGATGGATAGAGATGAACAAAAAAGTACAATTAATTAATTAATAGATATGATCTTTTAGTGATCCAGTCAGTGAGATGGCCCACTCTTTTAACCAGATTATAAATAAAGAACACAAGAATCAATCAGTAACACAAGGATAATATCAACCGTATTCGAAGTAGCTAATCTTGAACTTTATGATTGGAAACAATTAATACATATCTTGGCTGAATCCAGGAAAAAACAAAACATTATAGCTAACAAGAAGCAGAACAGGAACAACAGAACAGGAACATGAACAAGAACAACAGAACCGATATAAGCCCACTGATGACATTTACCAATTCTTCAAGCACATTTGGTGAAAAAACCACACCCATAACAAATGACTAAATGATTGGATTGATCTAAAGACTGTAAGAGGCAATGTTAATTGCAATTGGCATTGCCAAGGTTACCAAACCAACCAATTAAACAGTGATTGAAGATGTATTGATCAGTTCTTCAAGATCAATCAAACAAGCAATTAGTGAAGAATACGATGCCTTAAATTCGTTATTATCGATATTGTTATGCTTAGAGTTAGTTGGGTTTGGTCATGGTACAGTTTACAAGATATTTCTGGGTCTATCTGCTCACCATATCAATCAGTTGAGATTGTTCAGTAGACAGAAGTGATTTATGTGTTGTATGGGGAGGATGTTAGGTTAGTTTCTTGTATATGATTGATGGCTTGATGGCTTGATTGATCGAGGTGTTCTTATATTTCCAGCGAGGTAAGATCAGAGCTGAGGGTTTGGCTGGTTTGCTGTGTGATTATGCTGCTGTATGCTGCTGTATGTTGCAGATGTTGTGTGTGTGTGTAATTCTTTATTTAAACTATGGAATCAGTAAGAAATCACGTAAGAACTAAAACGTGATCAGACTGCAAAAAAAAAGGAAAAAGAAAAGAAAAGAAATACTTATTTTTTTGTGCAATCTCTCCAGATCGTGGTCAAAACAAAACTTTTCCAAACAACAAATTAACAAGCGCAAGTGGTTTAGTGGTAAAATCCAACGTTGCCATCGTTGGGCCCCCGGTTCGATTCCGGGCTTGCGCAGTTTCTTTTTTTCTATATCTCTTAATTTTTGCTCCCTTTTGTCAATTTCGAATCGAATTGAGCTGTTGCATTCCTCTTTTGTCTCCCAAACTACTTCCCAATTATCAGAAAGTTAAGAAGAGCTGTATATTTATTCGAAACAATTTCCCCCATTCTGTCGAAGGGACTAATATACAACTCAACTATCACCTCTAAATTGATACTACTAACGATAATTGATCGTTGTATTAGACTGTTAATTCATATTTTTTGGTTGAACTACAAATTTTGGATTACACGCTTTACTTTTTGCCCTGACAACAGTTAGCCTCTTATAAAATTGATTGTCTCTCTTCCTATCCCCACCCCTCTCACTGGACACATTGCTTAGTTGTATTATAATCAATAAAAGTTGTGGTATTTATAGATCTAAGAATCGAGTTCATGCATACATAGGGAGGATAGTAACACTCTGCTGAATTCAATTGATATACACACATATACATATATTCTTTGGAATTGATCGATAAAATCTAGAACGCTGTAAAAATGGACAGAAATAGCGTATCTTCTTTTGAAATAGATGATGGTTTGGAAGGTGTAGACGATTTCACAAATGAACCAAACCCATTTGATGACGCCAATAGATTCAATGGTGATACTGCTATTGCTTCTGACAGAGTAGAAAGTGATTCAGCTATAAAAAATAAGCAACAGGGACAAGAACAAGAACCAATCGTACCTCCTCCTTCATATACAGAACCTGTAAGAATCGACCAACCTTCTTCAAATGAGACATTGCCTCCAGGGTTATTAAACTACTATTCAAGATATTTCCAATTGACTACAGATGATTTTAAAAACAGACTTTATGACTCTATATCCTTCAAAAACAAGTTACAAGATGTCGAAGGTAACGCAGAATCAGAAGAGAACAAAACTGACCTTTATGGTGCCATTTGGATTACAGCTACTTTAGTAATGGTCCAGTACGTCACAAAAGGTTTTATTGGTTTGATCGTAGATGATATTGTTCAAGGGATTAAAAATGATACTGCCTATGATCGTAAGGAAACATTCCTAGGGCTAATCCATTCCATTTGGCTATTCTATGGTTACGTTTTCATAGTCCCCTTTATCAGCATTCAGATCTTACGTAGAGATGAAAATACAAAGTTTAAAAGTGTAATTGATCTGATATCTGTATATGGTTACGCAAATACTAATTGGATACCAATATTTATCATTGAAGATATTTTGCAAAGGTTTAATACTTCAAAAATAGTGTATATCGTACAATGGGCAATCTTAGCCATCGGTTCTGCTAAGACTGGCATACATCTGTATAAAAAATTAGACAATGGTTCAAATTCAAAATTATCTTTATCAACTATAATAATTTTATCCCTTCATACTGCTTTCTCAATTGCAGCTATGTTTATCCTTTTCTAACTCTGTAAATTTGATGTATACTTTATCTAACTTTGTCATCTAATAATAGAATCATATTCTAACATTGTAATTAAATATCAACCATTCTTAAACTCAATACTCTTTGACATCTGAAGCTAACCTATTATCCAATTTCGATACTGCAAGAAAGACGATGATCTAAAAATTAAATATGGATACTTTTTAATACTATTCAAATATATAAGAGTTATGCATCAAAAGGTAGACATATAGACCGTTGCATAATATCAATAATCAATCATTTAATCCTAGGAGTTGTACTTGTTGAGCAACATCGTTTTTATTGTTGCATTTGAAGTTATTTGGTATTGGTACTTTTCAAAAGACTACCCTTATTAAGCCTTGAAGGTAATTGAGATTTCTAATTGCAGAAGAGGTCTAGATTAAATATAATTCAGATCAAGGATGAATGTTGATGATGTCCTGGCTAGAGCTGGTTCTCAAGCAGTTTCATTTGCTATAAAATCTGGTGTTTCATTGGTATCATCGTACGCTTTAAAGACCTTGACTAATTTAGTGATAAATTTACCAAAAGATGATAAAGAAGATGATGAAGATTTGAAAAGACTTGAAAATTTGAAGAAAAAATTGGAGACAAGAGTTGCAATTGTTTCATCCACAATAGAATTGATAAAATTAGTTGCTGCAAGAGGAAATACAAACTTAGAAAATGTAATAACTTTAACAAGTGAATTGAAAAGGGAAATTGATAATATGGACGAAAGATTGAGATTATTAGCTGATCAAGCTGAAAATTCAAAGAAACAAGATTTAAATAGTGGTAAAAAAGTTATTGCAAAAATTGAATCTTACATTAAAGATGTTTTGAATAGAATCGACGAAGTGACTCCATTTTTAAACCTATCCCTAACTACATCGGGTGCAAATTTAAGTACCTCTTTACCTAAACAAATCTCACCAAACTTATTATTACAATCATCAAATTACATCAATACAAATAATTCATTATTTAAGGGTACAAAGAAATCAATAGATAAACTTCAAGTAGGTCCTACTTTTCAAGTGACACTATTTAGTGTGTTCTATAAAATGGGTGGAAATCAAAATATATTCTGGAAGGAAGATATGAGAAGAGCTGATGTTAAACTATTTAGAATAAAAGATGAAAAACTTGAATACAACTATATAATAAGAATTGAACAAAATTTTGAGGATACGAGATACCATGACGATGATGAGAAAAGACACATAATAGAACTAAAGATACCACAGATTGTTAAACTGTTTTTTAGCGTCTCTGGTAAATTACTTAACCTTGAAGAAATGGACACTCCTGTATTAGTTTTAAAGATCGATAAGAATATTGAAACAACTGGCAATATCAGTTCTACTGAAGATATTGTATGGTATGCACTAGGAGGATATGAAGAAATCGAGACTAGCTCTGAGAATGAAGAATCTGACACTGAGGAGGAATCTTTCAAGAGTGTTGATGAAGATAATACAGAGGTCGAAAATGTTTCTTTATCAATCAAACTATTGGAGTTTATAATAAGGCTAGCATCTTTGCAACTTAACGATCAAAAAGATATCTTGGGAATTAAAGATGAAAGACTGTCTTTATACTTAAATGATGAGAACCCAAACTCTATAAGAGATGTGAACGTTAATAAGGTTGCCGAAAAATTGCATAAAATAAAATTACAAGACGACAAATAAATAAATCTTTAGACACATTATGTGTCACATATACATATATAAGTATATAGATATGTTGTCCGTCCTATGTATAGAATGGATACTACATAAATGCTTTCCAAAGGAAATAGGTCTTCGATTTCTTTTAATTTGATTTGAGATCAACTCATAAATAATATCTTGTAAAAAAAACATGGATAAAACTTAGTTTTGGAAGTAGGTCACGAATAACTTAATTCAATAGTATTCTTACCTTGGTGGCATTGTACGATATCATGAAGTTGAATTTTTAATATCTTCTAAATTATCCAAATCTTGGAAGTTCCAATTAAATACAATTCCCATGTCATTTGGAATCAATTTATCGTCTTTTGGTGAGACTGTCTCTGTGCTTTCATTTGGATTTGTAGAGGTGATGATAGTCCCATCTAAAGGAGTCAATGGCATCAAATTTAAATCTGGATCATTGTTTTGGATGTTTTCCAGATAGTTTGTGTCAATATTGATATTCTCATTATTTTTCAATAAATTTTCAGGATTTAAAAAGTCGATGAAGTCTGGAGTTAAAGAAAGTATTTCAACTTTGGGAATAAATACTTGATCATTTACAACCGATGATGTTCTTGAACCTACATTACTATCGTATTGCTCTCCTTCGAAACCACCATTTAATAAAGAGTTTGCCAGCGAAATAGAAGAGTCTTTGATCTTAAACATATCCAATAGACCACTGTTGTCTCTACTTATATTTGAATTTGAGAATGAACTCAATATGCTTGTGCTACTATCTCTCCTATTTTCCATCAGAGGAGAGGCTATAGATGTTCTTTTCTTAGCCCTTGTATTGTGACATCGACATATTTGACCAGTCTGGCAATCGCAATTTCTTTTATTATTATTATTGTAGTTATTATTATTATTATTATTATTATTATTATTATTATTATTATTATTATTGTTATCATTATTAATGCTAGGTGTTGTAGTTGTAATGGTAGTGTTACCAATAATGCTTTTTGGTGATAGTAATCCAGATGATGTTTCACCATTTAATGATTTAGTTGATTTTGTTCTCCTCCTTCTATTCTTTGGAGATTTTAACTGCTTACCACATTCACACTTACCAGTGGGATTGATATTATGATTTTGTCTCATTGTTTTACAATGGTTACAAGTAGTTGAGGGTCTACCCTTTGGTTTTATTACTGTCAATGGCTGGTCTACATGATTACACGTACTTACCCTGTGACCTCGTATACACCTTTGACAGGCATATTTAACTCCATCGATTAGAACCATTTCGAAGTCAGATGCCGATTTAATTGTAGTGTAGGCAACTGTAGAAATATGTATACAACAATGAATCTTTCTTTTACCAACGATATTTGATATCGTATAATTTGTGATGATGAAGAAGATGATTATGATTATGATAATGATTATTGATAGCAGCTTCTCTATAGCTCAATAAGTGATGATGTCCTGCAAAACAAATATTGAATCAATAAAGTATAAGGCAAAAGCTAAAATGCACAATGTATTATAGTATTAATGTAATATTAACGGTGTATATAACAGCATAAAAAGATTATTGTATCTCTTTTGTATTTATATATATTTATTTTTCTCTTGTGAAGAATAAATGGTTATTAGTAATTTATAATAGTAGTATTATAATTGGGATCAAAATTTGATGTACTTGATGAGCCCTCTGGCAGCAGAATTAACGCTAATAGTAAAGTAAAATATAGCGGACAAATATATACACTGAATATATTCGTTCAAATATCAAAATATCAAAAGTCAATTAGATAGTTACTAAAAATTAATTTTAAATCACTTTTCCATTCGAACAAGGTAAGATAATATTTCACTTGGTTTTAGCCATTAATATATAATATACCAAATGAAATAAAAATTGGGATGAACAGATTTGAATCCCTAGTTATAAAATAGTTAACAAATTCTACGTAAACCTAATTCTAAATCAATAAGTTATGGAGAAATCCCAACCACATCATAACCATCATCAAGAACCAATATCCCAAATTTTAAATTCGAAATGGATTAAATTATCATCTTGTTTCTTCTTTTGTTGTTAGCTGGTTTCGAAATAAGTATTATTATTAGTAATTATCTACAGCTCAATGAATAAATGCATGAAATGAATAAAGTTGGTCAAGTGTCAACTAGGATATGAAGACAGTAAGAGAAATACAGAGACAGAGACAGAGACAGTTCAGTTCGGTTAATTTAATTTAACTTAATTTAATTTAATTTAATTTAATTTCGAAGTTCGATCAAGAGACCACAAGCTCTAAAGGCCAAAATAGCTTGCTGGAAATGGGAAGAAGGAAATGGAAGGGGAAGTATAAGAAGAAGGGAGGCACATACCAAGGAATTATTAAACTATCACAGAAAACATTTTAACGAAGATAGCTAGTTCCATGGAGTTAGTTTTTTAGTAGGAATAACCACTAATAGAGCATCTACCATCATCGGATTACATTTCAATCAGTCTTTAGGAACTAGCATACCAACAAAAGGAAAGTTATCATTAGTACTTCTACTAGAAGGAATTGTAAATTGTAAATTGTAGTTGTAGTTGTAGTTGTAGTTGTAGTTGTAGTTGTATAGTATTAATGGCAATGGTAATGGCCATACCAATTGTGCTTGTAATTGCAATATCCATTTCGATTGCAATGAACCTCCGTTGGTCAACTTTATGAATAGAGACAAGACTAGACAAGACTAGACAAGTCAAGGCAAGTCAAGGCAAGGCAAGACAAGAGCACATATATGGGTGAGCGTGGATAGGGTTAACATTTCTTAGCTTGCATCAAAGTGTTTCACAAAGTGAGCAAGTGAGCGTAACAACAGTTGTTGAACATGAAATAAGAAAGGTCTGCTTGGGTTAAATGTTTCTCAAATAGGAAGTTAGTTAGTTTATACACCCGAAGAGATATCAACGATGTAGTTGTAGCTGTTGTTGTAGCTGTTGTTGAAAATGATGATGGATGGATGCTCTCTGGCTTCTAGCCTTTCGAACAGACACATATGCCGAGAGAGAGAGAGAGAGAGAGAAAGAGAGAGAGAGAAAGAGAGAGAGAGAAAGAGAGAGATAGCCTGCCATTAGTTACCCATATATCCAACTACATAGTCCCTAACCCACAACAAGCTAGCAAGCAAGCTAGCAAGCAAGCAAGCAAGCAAGCAAGCTAGTTCATAAGTACTAGCTTACAATCTCAATACTTTCTAGTTGTAAAATTGGTAACTTGAGCCGTGATATACTTCTCAATGGTAACATGTAGCACAACTGGTTCAGCCGTGTAGACCACAACTAAACAGGAAGTATGTTTGGATATATGTATATGTAGTTTTAAATATCAGTTTTTATTGCAACTGTAGGTAACTACAGAAGGGAGGGGGATGGTGGTGGGGGGTGACCGGAAATGGTGGTTAGGGAGGTGATGGTAATGACAGTATCGAATCTCTGCAACCAGCACCTCTTATCTTGATAGTTTCTGTATCAATTTAAGTGAAACTAGAGCTAGAGCTAGAGCTAGAGCTATGGCTGATACTGTGGTTATACCATATGATACGAAACAACACGATACGATACGATACGATACGATACGATAAGACGTGATACAGTATCTTTTGAAATCTTGTTAAGATAGCTTTTAGACGTTGGGAAGCAACAATAATATTTACTTATTCACGTAGTATCCAATATAGATTACAATTGGAAGTCCTGGAACCTCTATTAACTGTTGTTGAATTCATTTATTCCATGCAGTGTTTTTCCAATTTACAAGTAGGAAGAGAGACAATATGTGCGATAGAGGACAGTTTCCTATCAGGTAATTTTGTTTCTTGCTTTATCCAACAACGTCTTCTTTCTTTTGCACTCTCCAAATCAATAGTTATCATCAAATCAATTATCATATATTATTCTATAATTATGCTATTCTCTTATCTATATGTTACTCAACTAGTTACATGTTTTTATGAAGGTTTTACTACATACTTAATCTATAAATAAAGAATTGGTGTTTAGCTTTAATTAGTATGGGAGCAGCCCTTCAGTTTTGACAATGGATTGAATGAAATGTATCAATTAATGTTAACGCTTTGCTGTTACTCTAATAAGAATTGTGAAATCATCATAGCTAAACTCAACAAAATTTGTATAAAAACTTGTTTCGAATGTTTTAGCTTTCCAGTTGCCTGCATGATGTTTTTGGAACTAGTTGCTATCTCAAGGGGATACTGAAAGGGAGGAGGACATTCACATATACCGATTCCTTAGATTTAATCGATCCCGATCGTACATTACTCCATCTTGTAATTCTCAGTAAAAGATAGCAGCATATACATTTATATCTGTTCAACATAATATACACACAAAGAGCACGTAGTTTTGCTTGATTTTATCTTGTGCCAACTGACATCAAAAAAACATTAATAGTTAATAACGATACTGGTACCAAAACAAAGGGATAAATGTACTGAATTCAAGGATAGTGATATTCTCTCCTTGAACATTTTCAATGTATTAGGCAAAGTATGCACGTAGGTACAGTATCACTTGGAAAACAATTAAAAAGTTAAATACTAATCGAATTGCGGGTTGAAATCAAAAGAAAGGATAAAAGAATTAGATCAGTTTATTGTTATATCGAATTGATAGTTTCATCTCACAATTCTATCCCTCTACATTCTATTTCTAACCGTTGAAACCTTTGCTGAAAAGGAACATGTTTAGTTTAATAGAAATCTGAAAAATTTGGAATAATGAAGATAGTAACCATTTTCTCCCAGTTTTGTGCTTGTCACCTTTTGATAACAGTTGTTTCTTTTAAGAAAGACCACAAGTTCCAAAAATACAAAACCTTAAAATATCCAATATCCTTCACAGTATGATAAATGGAATAGAACAGGCTGGCTGATTAGAATACCACAGCACGAGATCAGAAACACCACAGTAACATCACTAGAGGAACTTAACTTATCACAACTATCAATCTATCTGATTAAATTTCAAGCAAATATATGATATCATCATTATGTCATATCATTTCAGTATGATCATGATCGATAATAAATACTAAGTAGTATATCCTCTATTGCTGACCCCAAAGTATCATATGTTTTCGAATTATATTTGCTAAATACATATTTTGGGTTAGTTTAAATGATATACGTTTGCATTACCTAATGATAGTAAAACTTAATGCATTTGAATACGGCTATTCTTGGTAATGAAACTTCTTATTTAATGGGGAACAAAGTCTCCAAAATATATGTTTGAATTGAAATGGAATTAAACAATATCATTGAAACAGTTTCATTATCGCCGTGGTTTTCACATCCGCAATTGATCTAAGTTAGGTCTATATTTCCGTCGTTGGAAGGCTCAGTAGGCAAAATTTTCAATAGAGAGCTGTAACATTTTGAAATCGCCATTAGTTTATCCAATTCATCAATAGTATCGATATAAGTTTGTGATTCTTGTTCATGTGATGCATAAATTTTATCATTTAGAGCAGATTTTAAAATTTTAATAGAATCTAGATGGGACACGTAAACGTGCTGACGTAGAATTTCAGTCACGTACATTAGAGAATCCTCACTATTGCTTAATTCATTAAAAGATCTTTCATTAATATTAATTCTATTATCTAGAATATTTTTCAAGTGCACATTCTGTTGACGTAAAATTTCCAATTGATCATTGCTACCTGAGTCTCCCTCATTTAGTGATGGCGATGATCTATCAATAAAATTTTGAAAAATTGTTATATCCTGTTTAAAAGAATTAGTTGTAGTATTGCTTGCATTAGTATCGGTGCTAGTATTAGAACCATTATCAATAGTAGCCTTATTTTTTGAAATTTTGTTTTCACGAATACAAGAATCTAAATTATCAATCTTCGATAACAATCCTTCTTTAATCTTTTTATTTTCTTCAATTTGGTTGACCAGAGTATCTAATAGGAGATAGAGCTGTGATAAGTTTTCATTTTGAGGACTGATATAAATTTGATTATTATTCATTGTATATGAGTCTGCTTGGACAATCTGGAATGAAACCGGACAATATTTTTATCAAATGCTTGGATATAGAGATAAGTTCACTAATGAAAGCATTATCACCTTATCCAGTGGTTCCAGAATAGAAAAAGGTTTCCAAGAGATGAGATCAAACTGTAATATAAGGTTTTGATTAAAGCAATATGTGATAAATATATATATATATATTTGTACGACACATAGTTAAAACCAAAATCCAAGGTCATGTGACCCATTTTATATTTATATTGGTATTTTTCGAACCGTAGTGATTTTTAGATTCTGTAAGAACCGAGACTGAAAATGAATAGGGTGTGTTTAGAGTGGATGGTAAGTTCTACGTAATAGCAAAAGTATCATTCATTTATCCATCTATGCCTCATACCTTGTGCTTTGAGTTATCTGTACATGTTTTTGGGGGGTTTTGAACCGTTGACCACTCACTGTATTGCTTCTTATAAGCAACTGTGACACACTCAGGGAGAAGCTAGAGTAGCACACAATTAGTTACCCTACTTTTTGTTACCCATCGATCCTTGTCTCTGCCTTCCCCCTGTCTATATATCACACACACCCCATCACATCATATCACACGAAACCAATCATGAAGACTCAATTCAACTTGAAGAGTGTACTAATCGGAAGTGATCACTGCCAACCTTAATCCCCAAACCTCTACCTCTACCTATCCCTCAACCAAGGCCCAGTTGACACATCTCAGCAACGACTGTTCTTTCTTATTATCAGCTATAGCTCACACAAACATAGCGACATCTCATCGAATGCTAACCTCCAGATGTCCGTCCCGTCTCCACTTCAGCCATACATACATACCTACATACATACATGTTAACCATATACTGATCTAATGAAACCAAATCCCAATGTGGTCGCATTACACTACAATACACTACAATACAATACTTTAGGATATCAAGAATCACATACTAAACACTCCCACTCCCACTCTGTCACTACACCCACTATCCTTCCCAATATCCATCTTCTATATAGTCATGCTTTGTCTCTATTGCTCACATTATACACTACTTGTTTTATTTTATAGCATCAAGACCTCTATCATGACATTCACAACTAAAAGTAATGGCTAATAATCTATCATTATGGAAATAACAAGAGTAATGATGTTGATGGTGATCTGGTTGAGCTTTAACAAGCGATACCCTCCTGATCTATATTTACTGTTGATGACTTAAAGAACTGTCTTGTTATATTGTGGTACTCGCCTTTGCTTGTCTTATATTCTTACTCACACACACTCACACACACTCACAGACTCACATACTCATATATATATATATATATATATATATATACAAATATATCACAGATTTTGTATTGTCTACAGCTTCACTGAATTCTTGGAATTTAAATTAATAATAGGTTATTAGTTTAGATTTATATCTGCATCAACATAATTACATATTCGCATACAAATACAAATACAAATACAAATACAAATACACACACGCATATATATATAGATAGAGTGGACAGTACACCAGTATGAGCAAAATGTCAAAACTAATACTGACTAGAAGATTCAACCATACTACAAGTTACTCAAAGGATTTAGCTCAAATTGAAGCCTTCTTTAATAAAAAAAGATTTAAAAATGTTAAAAGACCATATAAATCAATAGATGTTTTAAAACATAGAGGTTCAATAAACTATCTACAAGAAAATGCCACTCCAGTATCTTCATTGATTTCAAGAAAACTATTCAATTTATTAGAGACTCATTTTAAAGAGAGGAAACCATTACATACTTTAGGTGTCCTAGACCCAGTCCAAATGTCACAATTAGCAAGATGTGAAAACATAAAAGTTGCTTACGTCTCAGGTTGGGCTTGCTCTGCAAATGCAAATGATAACGTTTCTCCAGATTTTGGTGACTACCCTTATGATACTGTACCAAATCAAGTCGGTAGAATATTTAATGCTCAATTAATGCATGACAAGAAATTACATTTACAAAATTTCAACTCAGGTCGTAACAACAACAGCGATAAAATCGATTACTTAAAACCAATTATTGCAGATGCTGATATGGGCCATGGTGGTATTACTACCGTAATGAAACTGGCAAAATTATTTGCTGAAAAGGGTGCATCCGCAATACATCTGGAAGATCAATTAGTTGGAAGTAAAAAATGTGGACATTTGGGTGGTACTGTAGTAGTGCCAACAAGTACACATTTACAAAGAATAATAGCAACAAGATTCCAATGGGATTTAATGGGTGCTGAAAATTTAGTTATTGCTAGAACTGATTCTTGTAATTCAAACTTAATCAGTAGTGATATCGACGCTAGAGACCATAAATTTATTAAAGGGATCGCTGTAGAAAATAATGATATCAGGCCAGTAAGTGAGGTTCTTTTAGAAGAAGAATTAAAACAAGAAAAGTATGGCCACAGTACTTCAAGTGACAGTTTGAACTCTATTGAACAAGAATGGTACAAAGAAAATAAATTACTGACATTTGATGAATATATGATCCAAACCCTGACAGATTCTGAGTATACCAACCTCATCAAAGAAAGATCAGAACTGCTAAAGAAATTAGGCAGACGTTACTTAAGTATATCTGAAATGAAGCAATTGGCAAATAAAATATCTCCAAGAAAGAACCTAACATTTAACTGGTATTACCCAAGAACTAAAGAAGGTCATTTCATGTTCAATGGCTGTTTAGAAGCGGCAATAGAGAGATCTTTATTATTTTCATATTATTCAGATTTAATTTGGTTAGAGACTAAAACTCCAAATCTATTGCAAGCCAAAAATTTTGCAATGACCATCCATGAAAAGAATCCAAACATTAAATTTGTCTATAATTTATCTCCAAGCTTTAATTGGGAAGCTCAAGGGTTTAACCAAGAAACATTAAAAAGTTTCATATGGGATTTAGCTAAACATGGATTTGTTCTGCAATTAGTATCATTGGCGGGTTTACATGCCAATGGATTAGGCACTTGGAAATTAGCCAAAGAGTTCCAATATGATGGTATGAAGGCATATGTTAATAACATTCAAAATGTAGAGAGACAAACGAATAGTGATATGTTGACGCATCAAAAATGGTCAGGAATTGATTATATAGAATCCATCTCTAACGTAATTCAAAATGGGCAATCTTCAATGACGTCTAGTACTTCAGGTAGTGGATTCACAGAAAAGCATTTCTAAGAAACAAAAAAAAGAAATACAAAAGTTTAGTCAGTAGTACATTTTCATTTGATCTGGTACTAATTTTATCAACAGGATAACCCAAGACTATAATTAGAGTATATCTATTTTATCTATCTATATTCCTAAACTAAATTTAATTATCTATACGTATATCTTGTATAATAAAAATATATAGTTCATTTTTTTTTATTCATTCATTTCCCAGTTATAACTACCATTGCTTGGTAGAATCCCAAATTTACAATAAAACAAGCCATAAGAAATCTAAAGATTCTCAACTATAGATAATGCTAAATTTGGAAATTAAAAAACCCATAAACAAGAAACTTAAGTTCCAATTATCGTTACGTTAAACTTCAAAATTCGAACTATAATTACATACAAAGAAACCATCAACTACGTCATATCTAATTCAATTTTAGGAAAGAAGTAGACAAGACAAGACAAATTCCAGACAAAGAGACAAGGTAAAGGACCCAGCCATCAAACAGGTCTTTACTTCTTATAAAATGATAGATAGTCCAAGAGGGAGAGAGGTGGTTAGTTCATCTTGTGATGCATTTATTGTTCGTTGTTGAAGTAAATACGAACTGAACTAGCTGAGAACTGAGAAGTGAGAGCTGGAGTCAGAGTTAAAGCTAGCTGAAACTTTTTGACATCAAGAGATTGCACTTGTTGTTAACGTTTGTTGCAGTTTAGTGTTATCTCAGAGGGAAATCTAACCCATTTTTCAATCGTCTGTAGACATAGTTACTATTATTATTTTGAAGATCTAGCTGTAGTTAGTTCTATTTGTAGTTATTCAGAGCAGAGTAGCCTTTATGCTTTGCTTTGCTATGCTATGCTTTGAACTAAAAAAATTCTGAACTATTCTTAACTACTAACTCATCTAAAATTTCAAACCAATGTTTGTTTGTCTGTTTCCATTACTGGAGAGAAATCAAGAGAAGTGAGTAAGGTTCAGTCGTGCCTAAAGTTTATATTTGATTGCTTGATTGCACTAAAATATCGTCAAATGATGTATTTACAACGACTACATAACATACATGGCGTGTTTTAAGTGAATACAGCGACTGTTTGATGGAGAGTGCTTTATATCTTGTTGCGTTCCCCTTGAAACTACGTAATTTTGGGAAGGTTTCTTAAGACTAAGCCAATTCGAAATGACGAGGAGATGGGTCCATTTATTGTTGCAATTATTTGTATATTTTGTTTGTTCGAAGTGTACTATTTATCATACCGATTGGATTTCTGAGAGAGAGAGAGAGAGAGAGAGAGAGCTTATTTGGAGTTTTTAATCCTATTTTGGCTATCTCAAGGATATCTATCATTTTTTTTTCGATCGAAACAGATGTTAAGGTTTCTTTTTAAGTTATGTTTTCTTGTAGCATATAACCGTTGTCAGTACTGCTTATTATCTTGTCCAGTATATTTTGGTTACCTAATTTGCTTATGTTTATTATATTATTGAGGAATAAATAGAAATGTAATCTCATGATAAAAAATTTTGATTTCGAATTCGAATTAGTTTGGGGTTGGTATCACCATCACTCTCATTTAAATAAGACATACTTGATTAATCAAAAAAAATAATATTTGGTACGGTAATTTATGCTTTTATCTATATATATATATATATATACATATGAATATGTTGTAGTTATTCCTATTCATTTTCTCTCACTCGAGTCCTAGTGTCTTAAAGCTATACTTATTAAGCCAGCCCAGTCTCCTTGGAACAAGGGATCAAGTTCTTATACTTCTTTTAAAGGTTACGTATTTTAGTTAAAGGGGAATCTGTAAGATATAAAATAAATATCTAGATCTCTCAATTTGAATTAATTATTGCTCTTTATTATTGCTGCTGTTCTAAAGACTAAATATAGGAAAAAGAAGCATTTACACCAATTCAAATCAGTACTGACATTAATCCTAAATTTATACTATTCAAAAATGTCAGATGAAGATGAAATATCAGGTAATGGGTATACTGTAATATCTTTAATTTGTAATCAAAATGATTCAAAGGTTTATAGAGTTGCAGATACACAGGATTATGAGAAAGAATATCTATTAAGATTAATCAAACAGAATATTGATCGAATTGACAAACAAAATATTTTAGATCAATTTATTACTGGTTCTAATAAATTAGGGTTGATTTATCCACTTCATCACTCCTTTGATGAAGAAGGTTCTGATTACTTTAGTTATTGTAACGATGACGAGACAGCATTTGGTTCTAAAATTCAAGCTCAATCTTTGGAATTCGATGAACACGAGAAATTCAATAAGTTAAACTATAGAAATAAAAACAGTAACTCACTTCCCAGAACTCCAGCTCCATCAGATTCGACACATAACAAAGCAATGCAAACCTCCAAACAATTACATAAGGAAATGTCCTCTCAAAAACATTTTGTTAGAACTCCATTGCCTAAAGGTCACACAAGTGAGAACTATTGTTGGAGCACTCATGAGAATATGATAAAATCAAAGTCGACAATAAGTTTTGGATCTGACAGAAGTACAGAAAGAGAGGAATACTTATTGGGCAGTGAAGAAGAAGAAGACGATGATGAAGACGACTTCTATGATGGAGATGAATATGAGGATGAAGATGAGGATGAGGATGAGGATGAGGATGATGAAGAGGAAGAGGAAGAGGAAGAGGAAGAGGAAGAGGAAGAAGAAGATGATGAGGAAGACTATAATATTGCAAATGAATTACAGTTGCCAACTGGAAAAATTGCAGGTCAATTACCATTAGTAACAACTCATTCATCCGATTACCAAAACAACACTTCCAATAATTCAATGCCTGATGATAGATGTCCATTGATTCCAATCTTAAAACATGGTGTTCCTGAAAATATAAATAATAGAGATCAATTAGATCAAGATGCATTTTCAGAAGGAAAACTTGTCAATGATTTCAATCATATAAATATCGAAAGTCCTCATATTAAGATTCAGCATAAAAATTCATTCAAAAATATTACAAGGACACCAATACCACAAGGCATCAATGTATGTGGAAATATGGATTACATTATCCCATCAGATCTCCAGAACGACAAAGATGTCGGTTGTTGTGATCTTCAACTAAAAATGGTAAAAAGTTCAGTATTACAAAGAAGACTCTCAAAAAATACTTCCCTATAGCATCACCATTTTGTTTAAATAGAACTAAAATTGCATTACTCTATAAAAGTCATTATATAGATGTTGATATAGACATAATATATTATATACCACTCTCCCAAACTAATTAACGATCCATTAGTCATTATGAATAGTTACAACGTCCTTTACATCAAGTGTATGCTGACGAATAGAACGTGCATTCAATAAATCGTTCACTTGGAATTTATCGATTCCTTCTTCAAACGTGTTAACCAATCCAGAATTTAAATGTCTCTTGGCGACTCTATCTTGAATCACAGCTTCATCAATATCAATATTCCAAATCAATAATGCGTCAGTTCCACTCAAAACTTGATATATTTTGGACCAGTTTTCTTGGTCATATAAAAGGTATAAACCTTCGAATATCATTATTCTTGTAAAGCCATTGATGCAATACTGATTACTGGTAGGATCCTTCAAGGAGTGATCAAACCCTGGTATATAAATATCCTGAACATCGGATGTGAATGTTTTTGCAAGTTTCTCCCAAACAGCATCAACATCATCGTTATCTGAATTTTGAAACCTTGATAAAGGTATCTTGGTATTAGACGTCTCAGCCAATAATTTACATAATTGTAGGAAATTATTACTATCGAACGTAGATGGAGAGCCCCTGCGTCTATGAGCATTAACAGGATCTTTAAAATTGTCTAAACATTTTCTAGTTAAATGAAACCCATCCATTGGTATAATTTGAGCAATATTGACGTCACATTTTTCCTTAGGCTTTGATAAATCATGATATGGAGAAACCTCTATAGCATTTGGTAACCCACCACGACCAATGACTTTTACATTGCCATTGACATTGCCATTGTCTCTACCATCATCTTGAAACTTGACACACTCAAAGTCAAGATCCTCTACAGATTGAGGAAGTATACCATCGTTAGAAGTCATATATTCGACTATGTTTCTCGAAACTTCCCTTATAGGTTCAGTAATATCCACAGGAAGAGGCTCAGAAACACCAGAAATCTCAATGTTACCACCATGCTCCTTCAAATACTCATGAAACATGGAGTTTAACCTCTCACATAGCTCATTGGCAATCGTTGACTTCCCAGATCCAGGTGGTCCTACTATAACCAAGGATATTCTATAATTTTTATCGACCCTATCAGCTAAAAGTTTCAAGGAATCACTAACTAACCCATCAATATCAAACATCAGCACAATAACAACCCAATTGAGTTCCTATATCCATCATAATGAGCACCACCTTCATTAAAAATAAATCCTTAGATTCAGTACAATTTTAATAATTTTTCACTGTTTTATAGAAAGTGACCTTATTAGATATCGAAAATATAAAGGCTTTTTAGATTAAAGAATGAAAAGTTTGATGATTCATTGATTAAATAGAGATAAAGTTGAATTGTATAATGGATTTGAGTCGATTGGAGCTCATCTGTAACCGGTAATCTAGTGTGCTTTGGTTAAATTGAAAATTTGGTAGTTTTATTCATTTATTTATTTATATTTTTGGTATTTTTTGTTATCCCTTTTTAAATATGTTAAGATCATTTGTTAAACAATCAGCAGGGATTAGAGGAAGAGTCAAATTTAATGTTCCAAGATTTGCTTCAACTTTGGCTTTTATAGAGACTACAAAGGAAGGTACTGTTTCTCCATCTTCTTTGAGTGCTTTATCTGCTGCTGAAAAGTTAGGTCAACCTGTAACTGCTTTGCTATTAGGTAATGAAGCTAAGAAAGCTGTTGATTATTTAAAGTCAAATTTAAAGTGTTCTAACTTGGAAAAAATTATTTTATCTTCTGATGAATCATTTGATAATTATCTTCCTGAAATAGTTTCACCAACAGTTGTAGACTTGTTGAAAAATGATAAATTTTCACATTTTGTAATCTCTAGTTCATCAGTTGGTAAAAATGTTTTACCTCGTATTTCTGCTCTGTTGGATTACCAACCAATTTGTGATATTACTGAAATTAAAGATCCAAACACATTTGTTAGACCAATATACGCCGGTAACATCATCTCTACTATCGAGTGTACTCAAGATAAAAAATTGATCAGTGTTAGAGCTTCAGCATTTGATAAAATCCCACAAGGTACAACGGAAAATGTTGAAGTCGAAGAAATCACTACTAATGCTTCAGAGCTTAAACCACAAATTGAATGGGTAAGTGCTAATATAGTTAAAAGCGACAGACCTGACTTGGGTACCGCTTCTAGAGTCATTGCAGGTGGTCGTGCTTTGAAAGATAAAGAAACTTTTGAAAATTTGTTAAACCCATTAGCTTCCAAATTGAATGCAGCCATTGGTGCCACAAGAGCTGCTGTTGATACAGGGTTCTGTGACAACTCCTTGCAAGTTGGTCAAACCGGTAAAGTCGTTGCTCCAGAATTATACATTGCAGTCGGTGTTTCTGGTGCAATTCAGCATCTAGCAGGTATGAAGAATTCCAAAGTAATAGTTGCGATCAATAATGATCCAGATGCTCCAATCTTCAAAGCATCAGATATTGGAATTGTAGGTGACTTATACGAAATTATTCCTGAATTAACTGAAAAATTATAATTCCTTTACGAACTAATTCATCTATTTGACAAAAAGGTATTCCTCTGTTGCTCAATGAGAGAATTGGTAAGAAGACCCCAAAGATACCATCACGTATCAATAATCTTGTAAATTAGCCTCCACAATTAATATATATATATCCCAATTTTATAATAAATTCGTCAAAATAAACGTCTATTGACCATGTTTAATTACTGTCATCTCATGTTATTGGTCCATCATGATGTTTCTGTCAGGTCTCTCTCTGCCTTACAAAACATGGATCGCGTAGTAAAAAATTGGTATAAATACAATGAGGTATCGAATGGATTCAATAAATTTAAAGATGTAACTTTATGTTAAGATTAAAGCAAGAAAAGTATATTTGTATGAACATTTGAAGCTAATACTGGTAGATTTGGTATCTCTGTGGTAAGGGTATACGTTTTGGTAATCTTTTGTTTTATGATTTCATTGGATTTAGAATATATTTTTGTTAAAAAAGGTGTAATCATCTAGTATCCCTAATTGTTCGATTAATATATTACAATAATAAGACTCCATATGAAATAGGAAGGTAGCATTTAAAGTGAGTAATATCAAGAATAAGTATGAGTGATCGTAATAATTTGCTATTGAATAATGGGAGTAGAGCGAATTATCAAAGCACTAAGATTCTACATAAAGATGATATAGTGAGAAGGAATCCTCTAGTGAGGACGTTAAGCAACAACAACAACAACAACAACAACAACAACAACAATGTTCCACTGAACAATAATGCTTTAACAAATGATTTAGAGGCCGTTATTGGCTCAACAAGACAACCGGAAATGACTAGGAAGTTGAGGTTTTGGTCTCTTGTACCATATTATTTGCCGTGTTTCTCTTGGATTCCTCAATATACTTGGTTCAAGCTAATAAGTGACTTCCTAGCTGGAATCTCGCTAGCTTCATTCCAAATTCCTCTAGCATTATCATACGCTACTTCAATAGCTCATGTGGAACCGTTATGTGGGTTATATTCTTTAGCTATAACTCCATTTATTTATGCAGTATTTGGATCTGTTCCACAGATGATAGTTGGTCCTGAAAGTGCTATTTCATTAGTTGTTGGCCAGTCTGTAGAATTATTAAAGTCTCATGATAGTGCATTGGAGATTATTAATATATCGGTGGTTTTAACTTTTATTAGTGGTGCCGCTTTGTTAATATTGGGAATATTAAGATTAGGGTTTCTAGGTAATGTTTTAAGCCGTTCTTTATTAAGAGGCTTTATTAGTTCAATCGGGTTAGTAATGATAATTGATTCTTTAATCACAGAATTAAAATTAAATAAACTTTTAGCAGGTCTAAAGGTTCATTGTCATACTTCATTCGAGAAAGTTCAATTTTTAATCAAATATGCACCAACAAATTATCATAAACCAACTGCACTTCTAAGTGCTATAGCATTTGTCACGCTATTTTCAATTAGACTATTAAAGAAAAGATGGATGGCTAAGCATAGGTGGTTAGCTTTTATTCCTGAAATCTTAATGGTGGTGATCATCAGTATTTATTTGTCTGCGACATGGGAATTTAAAAAACAGTATGGCATTTTAATTGTAGGAGACTTCAATACTCATGCCATTGATAAATTAAAAAATCCTATTTCAAAGGAAAATAGAAAGATTATGCCACAGCTACTTAATACGGGGGTTCTGATTTCACTACTAGGATTTTTTGAATCAATGACTGCATCCAAGTCATTAGGGACTACTTATGATTTGGCAATTTCTTCAAATAGAGAACTAGTTGCCTTGGGAAGTATGAATGTTATAGCATCACTCTTTGGTGCCTTGCCATCATTTGGTGGTTATGGAAGATCTAAGATTAATGCATTTTCTGGTTCCAAAACGGTAATGTCCGGAGTTTTTATGGGTTCCGTGACATTGATTACAATCCGATATCTACTACCATTGATTCATTACATTCCATTATGTATTTTATCTGTTATTACATCCATTGTTGGAATAAGCTTACTTGAAGAAGCTCCATCAGAGTTAAAATTTCATTTTAGATGCAAAGGGTATGATGAATTATTTGTATTTGCTATTACAGTTTTAGCAACATTGCTTTATTCTGTAGAGATGGGTATTTGTATTGGGTGTGGGTATTCTATTATTAGTATTGTTAAGCATTCTGCAAAATCAAGAATTCAGATTTTAGGTAGGGTTCAAGGAACACGAGAATTTGCGAATATTGATGAATATTTAGATAGTGACCCAATTGGTGATATTGAAACAAACAAATTTGTGTTGGAAGAAATTGAAGGCTGTTTGATAGTGAAGATTCCTGAGCCACTTACGTTTACTAATACAGATGATTTGAAGGAACGCTTAAATAGATTAGAAAGGTTTGGATCTGTTAAAGCACATCCAGGTGGACCTGGAGGGCGTTCTAAAGATTATACTAAATGTGTCATCTTTGATTTACATGGAATGACATCAATTGATTCCTCGGCAACACAAATATTTTTTGATATAGTAGCCACTTATAAAAAAAGAAAAGTCAAGGTATTTCTAGCTAGAGTATTACAAAGCAAACAGATACGAGAGCGATTAGAGAAGAGTGGAGTTACCTCTATGGTTATACATACAAACGAAGTTACACATATGATGCCAATTTCAAAGGGTACGACTAATAATGGCTTAATGAATGTTGAAAACTCTCCATATTTCAACACTATAGACGATACATTGAATGTGATTGAGAGTATTGATAATGGTGGCCAAACTAATGAAGAGATAAGTATTGCTGAGAGTTTACTATCTGCTACATTTGTGAATTCAAATATTGTATAAAAATAAAACATTATATTATTTTTTCTTTCTTTTTTTTTTTTACTTTTTTACGTAATTTATTATTAATATCATTAATATTATTATGGTTAATTTCTAATTGTTTGCTCATTCTATCATCATCGTTCTTTTATCAGTTGACTGTTTTCCAACTTATTTCAACGTTGTAAGCAGAGCTGTGCAAATAAAAGGGCAAGAAGGAGTTACAGCTGCATAGAATATGGCAATGACTTTTTTCTTTCTTGTAATCTAAATATAGCTACATATATATTAATAGTTTAAATTTCATGTGTGTAGTATTAAATTATTTACCACTTTTTCAAGAATAAATGTGACTTCAGAAGAGAAAGCGTTGTTTTATTTATGTGGAGGATGGAATGGTGTTATAAACCAGCTTTTTGAAGTGTCAGCAATGACAAAAAGAAGACGTCAAATACCAGATTGTTTTGGTAAGAAGATGTGAAGAATAATACGTTTATGCCTCCATATTCATCAGTTAATTCCAGTTGGGAGGGTGTCTTTTAAAAATCTATTGTGATTAAATGTTGAGACGTCGCCAAGGCAATAAAAATTAAGCGAACTAGATTTTAGTTTATCCACTGTTTAATTCTTCAAGATAAGTGTCTAGCAATTTAGAACAATGTGTTGGAAGCCGAATATTTACGGTTGCAATTTTATTTAAGAGCTGTTATTGTCTTAGAAGGAGAAGTGGAAAAACTTCTCAATCTAATGATCATATATAACCAATACAAGATGTTGAACTTGTAGAACAATATTGTAGGACAAGTACTATAAATTTTATGAAATGTGCCTTGTTTTATTCTTATTAGAGGTTCTCATCTCCTTTCTACGCCAATTTCTGGTACCAAATCTCCTGGTTTGTAGAAAAGAAAATTACCCAAATTTCAAGAAATTAAGCTCGCGTGGCGTAATGGCAACGCGTCTGACTTCTAATCAGAAGATTGTGGGTTCGACCCCCACCGTGAGTGCTTTGTTTCTTCATCTCTTCAAATTCCGCGATAGTTTAATGGTCAGAATGGGCGCTTGTCGCGTGCCAGATCGGGGTTCAATTCCCCGTCGCGGAGTAGTTTTTTTTGATTTCATTTTCTCCCTTTATTTAACAAACAGAGAAAGGATAGTTAGTATAATATACCTGTGTTAAAGCTTTCCCTAAGAGTTACCCTCCTTTCCCGCGCAGTTAATACACACCTCTACACCGCACACACTCACACCAACCCCCTTTTCCCTTCCCCCCGTCCTAAAGGAAGAAAATTCACCAACAGCACTATTTGTACATCACCAGCTACGAACACCCAATTTTCTCTGTTCCCAATTTTTCACCATACAATTCTTTTCTCTCTCCCCAGTCTTCTTTATCATCATCAACTAAACTGAACAACCAGAACTTATAACCATCGACGTTGTTTTTTATGTTTTTAGTCTTTTGTTTTTTTTCACCGTAATTTTTTATTTAAAATGGTATATTTGGTTTTGTATTTCATTTTTGGTTCATATATATATTGTTTTATCATTTAAGACTAAATCCCATCTAACGAAAGAATCACTTTTGTTTACCTTTATTTGCATTATACTACAATTAAAGGATACCCACATCTCATCTCATCTCATCTCACTTCATACCATCCTGTTTTATCACTTCACTTCTGCCACAAGAATAGATTGGACTGGACTATTCTTCTGCGATCCAAGACTAATCATATTTGTGATTGATCTTTTCATCCTTTGTTATTATATCAACTTTAAACACTGTAGTGCTAGTGTTACTGGTCGGATTCACTGCAATGACAAATTTATACGAGTATAAACATCCCATCATAAATAAATACCTGGCTACAGGCTCAGAGGACGGAACTGGTAGGAAGTTTCCTACTTTGGAGGCTTGGTACAATGTCGTTAATGACTACGAATTCCAAGCTAGATGCCCAATTATTTTAAAAAATTCACACAGAAATAAGCATTTCACTTTTGCTTGCCATTTAAAGACTTGTAAATTTAAAATTTTAGTTAGTTACTGTGGTAATAACAGTAACAACAACAACAACAACAACAATAACAACAACAACACCTCCCACTCAAACCAAAATATTGGCACCGGTACTGGTACTGGCACCGATTCAAACAACAACAACAATATAGATTTCCAATCTCAATTGGACGGTTTGAATGTCGTACAGAACTTACACCACCAACATCAAGTAGGCGATGAAGACGACGAAGACGACGTAACTAAAAATGTTATTGTAGATGTTAAAGATGAAAATATAGACCACAATGGCAACTCCAATAATATTAATGACAACAGAACTAATAGTAATGAAATTAAAAAAGATACTAACAACAGTAACAATGACGAAAACGTAGAGGATGAAAATGAAAATGATAGTAGAGATCACAACGACGAAAAACCTACTACTAATACAACTACTTCAACTTCCACCGCCTCCACTAAATATGAAGATTCAGGTGCTGCTGAAGATGATGACGTTAGTGCTGCTATCGCCGCCGCTGTCGCCGCAGTACACGATTCTGCCACTGCTGTTGCCACAATAGATGAAAGCAAATCAGCTACAAGTAACAACACATCTCCAAACTCAACTACAAACTCATCAAACGACAACCATCAATTGAGTATCAATGGCAACTCTTCTCAATTCCATGATGATCACTCAAACGTTTTAGCTCATGCTATGGAAGATGATCAAAAATCAGACCATACTTTAAGAGGCCCATTTATGGTAACTAAAATCGATCCTTACCATAATCATCCTCTAGAATCAAATTTAACCTTGGCAAAATTCGTATTGACTAAAATACCAAGAATTTTGCAACATGATTTGAATTTCGACCAAATCTTACAAGATTTGTGTAATGAAGAAGACAACACCGTTGCTAAATTTAGGGTCTCTCAATACGTAGAGGAATCCGGTATTCAAGATATCTTGAAAGAACGTTATGGTTTAACCGATGTCGATTTAGATAAGAAGTTAATAGCCCAAATCGCAAGACGCGTCACTACTTACAAGGCAAGATTCGTCCTAAAGAAGAAGAAAAACGGAGACTATGGCATTCCAGGTGCAGAGAACGTCTTGATTAATAATCATCCTCAACCTCGTTATTCAAGAGCAGCTAATATCGAAACTAATTTGCCTCCAAATGTCGAACCTACTTCTACTGGTAACGATAATCAACTATCTGTTTTGGAAGAAGAAAGACAATTACATTCCGCCTTCTCTGAAGTCAGAGAAGCACAAGCAGCTGCAAGAGCAGCTATGGGTGATGTTTCAGATTTCAAAAGACCAATTCAAATGGTTGAACAATCAATTGATGAGGATGATAACCAAGATGAGGAAGATACTCCAAGAAAACGTAGCAGAAATGATTTATTGAAATTAAATCAAATGAATTCAATGGTGAACGATGACGGTAACTTAGTTTCTCTAGAAGATGCAGCTGATGACAAACTACCACATGAAGTTGCAGAACAATTAAGATTGTTATCTTCTCATTTCAAAGAAGTTGAAGCTCAACAGCAAAATGATGAAAATGCAAATAAAATCATTAAAGATGATATACCCGATGAAAATATCCAACCTGAATTAAGAGGACAATAGATTTTTAAACTATATCTCTAATTGTATATTAGTGAAGATGGATAAATTCAAAATCTATTAAAAGCCAATTGAAATAAAATCAAAAAAAATAAAAATAAAATGAAATCTATATAAAAAAGCCCAATAATGAACAAAAATATGAACAGAAAATTGAATATCAAATTTAAAAGAGGAATCTAATCCCTTTTTTAGGATTTAATCAGTTTAACGTTTGAAATTTGTGGTTCAATAATTTTTTATTCTTGTAATTTTCCTTTTTGGTTTAATTGATTTTAATATCCTAAGGAACAAGAAGGAAAAATCTACACAATATGTATTATTTTAAAATTTATATCTAAATATAAGATTATTTCATCACTTCTATAGTTGTAATTGTTAAACTTTATTTATAATCTATTCTATTTTACTTCATTGTATATTGATGATAACCCAACTTGATCAACGACAGACTTGATAAAAGTCAACGAAAACTAGTGATCATCTCGAAAGATAATAATTGTGGGATAATTGAAATAATACTAATATTGATAAAAACGATACAGAAACAAGCTAGAGGGTCCAACATAGAATATTACTTGAGCTTGGTAACAGACACTGTCTCATGATCTCTTTCCCAAGAAGTGAAATATTTGATCACGAGATTCTTGGACAGCACCAGGGTAGGGTAAGCACTCCAGAGTAGAACCTACACCATGTAATATGACTTTCTCCAGATGTAATTGAAAATTCATAAGTGCAATCACGTGATAGTTTATAGAACTTTTCAACAAAGCATATCTAATTTATATTGATCTTGAATAAAAGCTAAGTACCTTTTACTATATAAAAAATTACAGAAATACTTTTGAATAGGTTTAAAAAGTCGATTGCAGCCCAATATTGAACTACATTAGAGAAGATTAAGGCATGCTTCGTTTGAAATTTAATTCAACAAGGAGGCTAACGGCCTTGGCAACTAAACACAAGCCTTCTTCGGGTATATATTCATTTCATCTTCAAAATAAATTTATTCAATCCCAACGATTCCAATCCACAACCAATGACTTTAACACTAATGCAATTAATTCGGATAGTAAGAATTTAGAAGAACTAGACGTCAATAAAACTGTTTCTAGTGCACCACAACCTTGGTATTTGACGATGGTTAAGCGTGAGAAATTAGTCGAAAATAATACGATTCTAGAGGATCAAGTTGTAAAATACCCTGAAAATAGTCCAGGCTCGTTAATATCAATAATCGAAATGTTAAAAACAGAATTAGGTTTGACAGATATTCTAATTTTCGATTTAAGGGAAAAAGAAACCAATAACGAGTATAATTATCCAACTGCGGCTGCCAAAATTAGTGATTTTATGGTTTTAAGCACTGCACAATCTACAAAACATTGTGAAAAATGTTTTGTTGAGTTGAACAAAATGATGAAACAAAAATTCAATTCTATTGCATCAGTTGAAGGAAATATAAATTCGAATGATGAAAGAAAGAAACAGAAAAGACTAGCAAGAAAGAGAAACCTGGAAAGATCATCGTTGGCTAAGAATCCAACAACGTCAACCTCTAGAGATTCTTGGTATTTAGTGGATTGTCATCTTGATAATATATTTGTTAATATCTTAACCAAAAATAGAAGAAAAGAATTAAATTTAGAGGAACTATATGCACCAAAAGAAGAAAGGGAAAAATACCGTTATGACAATTCTAGAAGTGATTTAGAATTATCCGACGAGTATTCCTCTGGGAATAATATACTTTCTGGCCTACGAAAAATAGCGTTACAAAGAAGAAGGGCTTATTCTACATTGGCCAACCCTTCACAACTTTCTCCAGATATAGCATTTGATATATTAAAAGGACTAAATAAAGACAACTTACACATCAAACTGAAAGAACTAGATCAGCTCAAATCAGCCTCATCCTTAACTGATATTGATACATTAAATTTTCTCAGTTCAGCGGCAAAACAGCTTTCTAATAAACAAGAAAAGAAAGTATACTTTAAAGGACTTCAAAAAATGTTTGAATCTCAATGGCCCTTAATTATACCGAGAACAAATAGTGATGAGTTTTGGTCAGCTAGGTCAAATTTTTACAAAAGCTGTTTTGAATTGAATCCTCAACAATTTAGCTTGAAAGATTATTTTATCAATTGTCTTTTGATCAAGAGGGTCTCTGGATTCAAGGTAGAAGAAAAAGATTTAATTAATTTTTTTAATATTCTGTCTAGCTCCCTTTTGAGCAATGAGAAAAGCAATTACTGGAACCTAATAAAGTCAAATAATCTAGTAGTCTCCGCATTGAATTTAATTGATGATGAACGTATAATAAAAAACTCCCAGTTCATAGATACATTATTAAATACTATGATAATTGATGAAAATAAGCATTCAAGAGCATTATATGAAATAGTTGATTATCTTGTATATAACTCGGAAAGAAGCAATAAAGCTTTAGAGATTCCTATGATCACTATAATAATTAACGCGTTATGCAGAGTTCAAAATTGGTCAAAGTTATGGCAATTCTGGGATATATTAGGGAAGAATGCTAATTATAGAAACGATTTTAGACCTTGGGCTGAATACCTTAGATTAATTAACAAAAACGGTAATGAAACTGTACATAGAAAAATCATTGAAGATGGTCAATTATTATGGATTGTTCGTAATGATGTGCCATTGACCAAGGAATTAACCGATCAATTATCTAAGTTCTTTTCACTCTCCAATGATGAGGGAATAGAAACTGATACTGTTAAAGAGTTAATTCTAAATGCAAAACCATCTCCTGTATAAACTTTCAATATAAATTATAAATATTCTATAATATATAATTACAACTAATCATTCAAATTTTTATTTAAATAATCGGCAAACATATGTACAATTCTATCCCTTTCCATGTCTCTTAATTTGTTTAAATTTACAAATTGTCTTTTTAATCTTTGTAATTGAGCAAGAGTAACTCCATTAACTGGTAAATCCACGTAACTGCATCTGTCATCATTAATGTCAGTGACACCTTCAGAAACAATTACTCTTGAAGTCGAATTATTACCAATAGATTGTGCTATTTTGATCTCTTCCATTATCTTTTTAACCACTAATGTTGCTTCTCTATCTAATACTTGAATAAAGTTTGTTTGAGAAGCTGGTTTTAATATGGTTACACTATTTGGTTTTTGAAACGAACGACTCAAAGGATCACGAGTGTTCAACGAATTACCAGTATTGAAAATTGCACTACTGATATCTTCAATATAGTCTTTCATAGAATCTTCATTCGACAAAACAGGGAACAATGGGGAGTCCCAACGACTTTGAGCATTTGGTTCTTCATAACGCTGTATCAGTTGATCCAACAACTCATTATCCCATGAATTACTTGATGACTTATTCCAATCATAAATTACATCAACTGGACACATTACATGGATTAAACAAAATGTGGTAGAGCAATTTTTAACTTCACAATGAAGTTGGTAACGAAATCCTTTAATATAGTTTAATGAATCTACAATGACAATATTATTCTTAGATAGATCTCTCTTAACAGCTGATATTATCTCTGAACGTAATTTACGTTCATCTTGAGATGTAATGTAATCATTATGTTGAATACCTAAACTTTCATCTGAATGATACACAATAGAGTATTTTTTATTCTTTAAAGCAGGTGTATTCTCAATTTTATCTTCTAATAAAGAAATTAATTCCTTAGCTTTAGTAGTTTTCCCAGAGCTTGGGTATCCTGTAAACAAAATAAGAGGCATCGAACCAAATTTCCAGAAACAAACTTTGCTGAGACTTCACTTATCACTTAGATATCAAGAATATAATGTGCCGTGAATAATACAATAACCATTTACTACACATTTCATCCCTTTGTTCTTATTCAATATTTTAAAATTTTTCATAAACTTTACTATTGAAAGCGCATCTCATCGCTTATTGAAACTTTTTCGATATTAAAAATGTCAATATATAATGATGGTTAAAGTAATACTGACTACTTATTAAATGTGAAGTTTATTAAAACATTGTTCAGATGACTGGATGAATGAGGAATCTGTTGCAATAATTTAGGATGAAAATGATTAGAAGAGGTTATTCCAATTTAGCCGGTGGGTTTATCCCAAGATTTGAGTTTCCAAATTATAATATTACTACAACTGACTTCAAAGGACATCAGATGAAAGCAGTTCAAAGGTTTAAACGGATGTTACCACAGCTGAATTTAATATTAGAACTAAGAGATCTGAGAGCTCCATTGAGTACTAGAAACCCGTTATTTGATCAATTGCTCTTAGGGAAACACAATAATAGCACATTACAGAAGCTTGTCGTTTACACTAAGAAAGATACGATGATATCAGAGAATCATAAAGAGAATGAGAGAATAATCAACAAATTGAAAGTGTGGCATGGTGAACTTAATGAAAAATTCATGGTTATTAATTGTAAAAACAATAAAGATGTTACCAATTTGATGAAGATTATTAAATGGACAAAACATGTTACAGAGGAAAATAGTAACGTATTACCAATGGGTTATAAAGTTTTGATAAGTGGGATGCCAAATGTTGGGAAATCAACTTTGGTTAACTCATTAAGAGGTCTTTCAGGTGTGAAAAGAACTGACAAAAAAAAACAAAAAGTGGCCAGAACTGGTGGAGAGGCTGGTATAACTAGATCTACGAGTGAAGTAATTAGGATTTCAAATGATCCTGGGAAATCAGATATATACTTGATCGATACACCAGGTATTGGCCTTCCAGGAAGATTAACCCATTCAACGAATAAAATGATAGTATTATCCTTATGTGGTTGTGTGAAAAGTAGTTTGATAGATCCCGTAATTCAAGCTGATTATTTGTTATATTTAATGAATTTACAAAATGCTCAAGGTTTAGAAAGGTATCCCAAGGAATCAGAGTATCCTACAAATAATGTGACACAAGTCCTTAAAAGGGTAGCCAATCCATTAGGTTTCAAATCAGGTGGAGCTCAATTCGACGAAAAACTTGCAAATATTGCGTCACAATGGGTAAACACCTGGAGACAACATAGGAAAGGAGATATTGGAATCTTTTTTGATCCAGAGATTTTATTGGAGTCAAATGATTTTAAATATAAGGATTACATTCTCTCAGAGGCAGAAAAATTGAGAAGTTTTTATGAAAGTATTAATGGAACTGCTAGAAAAAATCCAATGCATAATAACATCAATCAACTATTTGTTGATCAATAGATATCCAGTAGATAATAATGAAAATAGATTAGGAATTATAAGAAGTTAGGTACTAATACTTGTATATAGATGTATTATTATTACTTTAACATGACAGCATTTATTTAATATATTAAATAAATTGGTATTATTTTTATAACTATATCAACATGACAAATATTTTTCTCTTTTATCAAGTTTATATTCCATTATATGCATTATTTAAGTCTATGCAATTTTCAAATGAGGTTTATACGTTAATACAGGAATTTACCATCCAATTTCAGATAATCTGACACCTTTGCTAGCGTCGGTAGCTCTGTTAATGGATTCAATGGAGACACCTCCCATCAAGTCACCTAAATCTCTGGAGACTTCTAATAACTTGGCAGGATCGTTGTAGTGAGTAGTAGCTTCGACGATGGCACGAGCTAACTTTGGTGGGTTTGAAGATTTAAAGATACCAGAACCAACAAAGACACCGTCACAACCCAATTGCATTAATAATGCAGCGTCTGCAGGAGTAGCGACACCACCAGCAGCAAAATTAACAACAGGTAGTCTACCGTCATCAATAACTTTTTGTAAGAGTTCTACAGGGACTCTGAATTCATCAGCTTTTGCTTTCAATTGATCAGCAGATAAATTGTTAGCTTTCAAATCTTTAATTTGATTACAAATAGTATTGATATGTTTAACAGCTTCTGAGACATCACCAGTACCTGCTTCACCCTTAGTACGTATCATGGCAGCACCTTCATTAATTCTTCTTAGAGCTTCACTTAAATCTTTGGCCCCACAGACAAATAATGTTTTAAATTGTAGCTTATCGATGTGATGAGTCCAATCAGCAGGAGTTAAAACTTCACTTTCATCGATACAATCAACCTCCAAAGCTTCTAATATTTGAGCTTCGACGAAATGACCAATACGAACCTTTGCCATTACAGGAATAGAGACACTTTCCATAATTTCTTTAATCATTTTTGGATCAGACATTCTACAAACTTGACCAGACTTTCTCATATCAGCAGGGATACGTTCTAAAGCCATAACAGCACAAGCACCAGCTTGTTCAGCGATCTTAGCTTGTTCAGCATTTACGACATCCATGATGACACCACCTTTTAACATTTGAGCAAAACCTGATTTAATCTTGAAGTCAGACATTATTAATGATTGAGTATTTTAATTATGTGTGAATAGTATAATGAATATAAGTAAGACTGTGATATGAGAAAGATGATTAACTCCTTATCCTACTGAAATATGGAATTGAACTCAATTGATCTTTTGCTTTATTTCAAAGTATTGCTAGTTTGAAATGGAAATATCTAGCCATATCTTTCAACAATACGAGAATAATCTACAATTGCTAATATATATATATATATATATATATATATACCTCAATGGATCAATGAGTAAGATTGACAAAACACCACAACCAGAGGAATCATATAGACGTCAACGAACAATTCAAAAAGCTGCTGATGGTGACGATGATACATAGTAAATTACTCATCAGACAAGGCACTAAAACAAGTACAGCAAAATATAGCCTATGTATGAAATGGTAATGCAATACCCAGTTAAGATGAATTTTCAGATGTCAATATCAGCAAGAACAGGATTTATAAAGTACGTTTCCCTAAGGAAGAAAGATAAATTCGATGTATAAAGCAGGGGCTCGCTAACTTATTCCATAATTAATTAACTAAAAATCAAGACCAAATCGCCAAGATCAAACCAAACCAAACCAAACCAAACCGAAGGAAATCAAGCTCAAAGAGACGTCGACTAAGGATAGAGAAACGAACCATTATAAGGTATTATAATCATAATACCTTATAATAAACTAAAACCTATTCCTCTAAGACAGTTCGAAATATTATAGCAAAACTACATCCTCCCAAAAAAAGCCTCTATACCTCAAGTGACAAGAAAGGAAATTACTAGCCTTCACCCTTCAAGAAAGTGGAAGCAAACCGACAAATGTATATAGCAATCAAGAAGAAGAGAAACGCATTACCACTACCACCACAGTTAAGTGAGAATATCACATTTTTATAAATCTCAATCAACCAACTATCCTGTCCAATGCAATCCTAACCTACCCATGTCATGTATCAAGACACCTAACTGCAAGAAAACATAACCCCCCCCTCTCTCTCTAATTTAACCTCTTATGACTCTGGAACTACTTAATAACAACTACAACTACAACTACAACTAGTAAGATTATAGTAAGAAATACAGACGAGATATAGGACCTTACCATATAAGAATGGAATTATTCAGCGAAAATAGAAGAAGTTATACCTGACAAGGCACTTAGTTCACCAAGTACCCACCACTACCACCATTGATCACATAGCGTTATAAATATTATATTTAAATGATACAGATATCTTGAATAATAAGAACCAATTGGAAACCCATCCAACCTCACCAACCAAGTTTCGAAATCGAAAGAACAAACAAGCAAAAGAAATACTTGTTGGTCGATTGATTGATTGATTGCTTCCAAGAAAGGTAAACTAGTTAAAGTTTTGAGAAATACTAATTTGTAAGATGACGTATATTGGTGTATTGGCATTACAAGGTGCGTTTATTGAACATATCGAAAGGTTACAAGAGTGTATCAAAGAATACGATAATTACGATTTAGATGAAGATATTAATATCATTAGTGTTAGAACCCCTGAAGAGCTTGAGAAATGCAAAGCATTGATAATTCCTGGGGGTGAATCTACTTCTATGTCATTAATTGCCCAAAGAACCGGTTTTTTACCATTTTTAAGAGATTTTGTTAATGATTCCAGTAAAGCCATTTGGGGAACTTGTGCAGGCTTAATCTTCTTGAGTGAGACTGTTCAAGGTGACGGTGGTGGTAGTGGAGGTTCTCCTTTAACTGCTTTCGATCCAACTTCCAGATCGAATTTGGTCGAACCGTTAAACTTAGTTAAAGTCAGGGTTAAGCGCAATGCCTTTGGTAGACAAGCTCAATCTTTCACTAAAATCTGTGATTTTTCATCATTTATTCCAAATTGTACTGATTTCCCTGCTACTTTTATTAGAGCTCCTGTCATCGAAGAAATTATAGATGCTGATAGAGTTAAGACTTTATACACTCTACCAAACCCTTCTTCTGCAACTGGAGAGCTGATTGTAGCTGCCAAACAGGATGACAACGTTTTGGTTACTGCATTCCATCCTGAGTTAGCTGAAAATGATATAAGATTTCATGATTATTTCATTAGAGAGTATGTACTAAAAAATTTGTAAATAAATTATTGCATTCATCTTGAAGAGAGATAAATAACATAGTTCAATAGAGAGATAATAAAGAAAGCAAATATATATAAATGTGAGTGAGACTGGCCTATGGTAAATAATTTTGGGTTTTTAGGACTTTTTTTTTATGTACCAAAATTATCCAGACCTAAACAATATAAATTTCTTGAAGATTTTTAACTTGGAAAATTTTTATCCTTCTACTATTAATCATTGTTTCTGGTACGATTATTAATCTATCGCTAACCTGTTGAATATTCGAGAGAAATATGTAATTTAATAGTTTACATTTTGTTTGAGTTATCAATTTCAATCTATTGACCGTATCTTTATCAATTACCTGTTTGTTCAGAACAGACACTTTTACATTTGGATTGATCTTTAATTTGGCCTTTACTACATTGTCAGAATTCCACATTGAATTTCTAATGTTTTTTTCAACAGAATAGAATAGATAATCCATTATTTCCCACCATACTAGCTTGTTTGCATTTTTAATTATAATCTTCTTACAATAGTATGGTAATATAATTTGATTTAAATCTATATCTCCAGTGTGATCTAATATTATCTCTTTTAAATTTTCCCATCTACTGAAATCTGCAATCCTATTTAAAGTAATATTAGGGATCCATTTAACTTCGATCGAATTTATCCTCTTTCTAGTTAACGAGTTTATGATTTTGCCAGGGTTATCTCTTGCCCCATGCAAATTTATTAAAGTTTGAAATAAACTTTCATTTTTAACACTTAACTTCTTTAAATTTTTCATTAAATCTATATTTTGTAATATCATCGTTATAGTTGGAGATGAAAGTCTGGTCTTATAATCTATTACCTTATTTGAGAGCTTTTTCTTGTTGTCATTATTACTGCTATGATCAATTAGAACCCCATAATTTTCATCATCTTCAAGATAAAGAGTTAATTCATTAACAATGTTAAACAATTCCTTTTTCTTTAAATGGTGAATACAATTTTTAACACCTCTTGACTTCAAATATTCTAAATTAAATCTAATATTTATCGTTGCCTGATCCTGATCAAGCAATTGATTACAATCAAGAATCCATTTAGTATATTCTTTTGGAGTATACCATACTTGTAACAAGCAATTTTTATCGAAGAATCCCATTCGAAATTTATTATCCAAATAAATCATATCTAGGGATCCTAGTAGATCACCTTCATATGCATGGTTGATTCTCAGACAATCCAAAATTATAGAATCATACCTCAACCATATAGCATACTCTAACCAATCGTCCATTAGCATAGGTAAATAATCAAACATGGTAAAATAAGGCTTGAAAATAGACTTCAGAGCATTTATTATATCATAATTCTTCTTGGAGTCTTCTAATTTGACCTTCGTTTCGTCATTTAGAGTTAAAACATTAGAAGTTGAAGGACTAATTTCAGTTAATCTTGAGTCTAACTGAAAATAAACATTTTTACGTATATCAACCGGCAATGAAAGAAATTTTACCACATCCATAACACATCTCAATCACCACAACCTTCTAAAATATATCAACACTTCTATTAATTCGAATAGGTCTTCATTAATATGAACTATTTTAAGTAGATAGTCCTTTATATTTCACTTATGATGATATTCAGATTGGAATTGTTGACGCGTAAATAAAAGTTAATTTTATTAATAACGCGTAAACTGGAAAAGTTTCACTATTGATTTAAATTGCATCACTTGCTATAACAACTTGAAGGTGCTTAAGGTACTCATCAATTCCAACAATTGAGGTATATATACATAAATATATATTTCAATATCGATAATAAACATTAGGAATTTTGTTTTTTTAGTCATTTAATCTGATAAGGTAGATTATTCTCTAACAATTAAATAAACTGAGATGTCTTCAGTAGAAATAAGTGATTTGAAAATAAGGTTAAAAACATGGGAACATGAATTCATAGATAAAAATAATAGACCACCTTCTAAATATGACATTCAAGGTCTTCCGGAGGTGAAATTGATGTATAAGCAATATTCTGCTCTCAAGAAAGGTAAAGGTGCTAAAATTGACAAATCTGAGAACCAATTGACTCCTAAAACGTTAAACAATCATAAAGCACTAGATAAATTCAAGAGCCCGATTAGATCTGATTCTATAAAGATCGAATTGGGACCTACTCCGCAAATATACGGTAAGACTATGAGCATATTTGATATGCGAATATCGCCAGTCAAAGTCCCAGAACAGAACATAGAATTTAATACTCCAAAGAATCCTTCACCTGCATCGACCATTTCTCAATCCAATTCATCTATAATTTCTGAATCTACAGATGTTAAGCGGAAACTTACATTTGATGTACATTTCACTCCTGTATCATCACCATTAAAAAATGATGAAGGTATAAAGAAGCCTATAGCAAATGGAAAATATGGTCCAAACTCTCCATTAATGATAGATAGAAAAGATATAAACTTTACGATTAGAAGTACTCCATTAAAACCAATATCATTGGCAACTACATCTGCATTTAGTCCTTCACCTCTTATAAAAAGACCGTTGACAAAGTCTCTTGTAGAGTTAGCCAAGGAACATGAGGCTATAGTAGAAGAATTTTCACAAATTCAAGAAGAAGATGAAAATGAAGATGAAGGCAATGATGAAATGATAACTTCAAATGAAATGGTCAATGTCTTTAGTCAAGAGGCTCTTGATGAACATATAAATAAAAAAATAAAGAGAAGAAGAGTTATACGTAGGTTTGCCGAAGAAAGTGACATATCTAAATCGGTGACTATCGATATCCATAAAGAAATATACAGACTAAAAAGGAAGCAGCTCAACGAATTTCTTGGTGATAATGAAATAGACGAGGAAGATGAAAATAACTTCACAGATTCGATAAGTGATGAAGATAATAATAAAACAGAAGAAGCAAAAGCTCCTGTTAAAAGGAAAACAAGAGGTAACAAGTTAAGATTAGTTAGTAATAACTTCAGAAGATTAAAGTTACCACGTAAAAATCGTTTTAAGGGTCGCTGGGGCAACCGTAGAAGATAAATTTAACAATTTTTATTTTCTTTTTAATATGCAGGCATCTATAAACAACACATGTAACATTATATATAGATTTAACTATCTTTTACGCACCATCAATGTCTTTTAGCTTGTTAAAAGTTGTAACATACCTTCTATTCTCTGTGCTTCCTTCGAATAGTAAACAACTTGTCTGATCTTACTTCTCAAGGTAATAAGCATTTCTTCTAATACAGGCGCTTTAAATAATATATCGCTGTAAAGATCCAATACTACCGCGATCCAATCAGCCACTACAGGAGCTGATCTGACATCATCTATACCCTTTAAACACCAATTTAAAAGTGGTTCTAATGCAGCTTCATCTCTACCATACAATGCTACACGAATCTTACCACGCTTACGTAATTCTTGTAAAACGGTCAATGTTAGTTCCTTAGCCATACCAGGAACAAATGCACTATCTAATGCTTCACTCCATTTAAATTGGTTAATGTATTTTTCGAAAGCTCTTGTGCGACGTTGTTGTTTCATTTTATCATCATACACAATATGTTCTTGATCACCTTGATATTGGGAGCCACGCATCATTCTTTGAAAATTATTACTCTTAACTGAGGCAACAGTAGATTGCTTATTTGATTGTTTTTCTTTACGTTTAGTTCTAATAGCCAATAGACCTGATGATAAACCAGCTACTATATGTCTATTTCCTTGAGCATCACCTGGGGATAATGCACAACTTAATACAGGACCAGAGTATTTCCAACCAAATTTAACACGGAAATTGTCCAAAGGATCAAATACTTTAACATGACCATCTAATGAGGACGCAATTAAAGCTGATTGCATTGGTGATTCTGAATTTTCTACATAATCCAGACAAGTAACTGTTTTATTAAAATTACCACGTTCATATAGCTTCTTGTTACTAGTCAAATCCCATACTTTGAAATTTGGACCACCACAAGAAACCAATTGAGTTGGTGAGATAGCGATGACATTTTCTACAGGTTGGTCGTGGTTTAAGGAATAAATAGGACTTGAGGCACTAGCTCTAGTATCATATAATCTTACTATACCATCGTAAGAACCGGTAGAAATCAAATGTGGAGCTGATGGAATACATGAGACAGTACGAACATAATCAGAAGCACCAGTAAGTTCAATTTGTGGCTCATAAGCATGAGAAATATCCCATAATCTAGTAACTCTATCATCACTGGCAGTTATTAAAGTTTTTGGATCTTGGGTATGAAATTTTGTTACATGAGTAGGATGGGTAGAGGCTTTGATTGATAGTAATAACACTCTTGGATTGTAACTATCATAAACAGACACTAAACCTGTAGCGTCACCAGCACATAACAATTTACCATCATTTCTAAAAGAGGCAGAATAAACGACATCTTTAAATCTGGAAAATGTTTTCACTACTTGTCTTGTTCTTGAAGAAAAAATTTGGACTCTTGTAGAAGAAGTGACTGCAAAATCGTGAGGATGTTGTGGATTAAAATACACATGAGTAACACTATTATGTTCTTTTACTAATTGAGCAGAAGAATACTGACGCCAGTAACGTTGCTCTGGTGTAGTCTGTTGAGGCAGTACTGGTGCCTTAGCTATAATAATTTTTTGTCTATTCGATGACATTTCACTTGCACTCTTGTTATCACAATTATTGGTATTATCTTTATGATGATAAATTTGATCAATGATAATTGAAATATGTTCCCGCCTAATAGAACTGTATATCACTAGTAATGGAAATTCTATGTTCACCTTAGTAAATAACAAAATCTACACAGACAACTAACACAAATATATTCAACGATTCTAGAATGAGTGTATCTTGTGATGGGTCCAGTTGTATACAATCAATAATAAAATTTATAGTTCTTCTTTTAACAATAATGAGATGAGATGAGCTTGTGAGAGACCAAATTTCAATTTTTTTTTCATTTCGAATTTTTTTTCCAAAATAAAATGTATTTACCCGGATGTATATCAAGTTGTATTGGCGCTATCAATATTTCTGGAGGATTTATCACGTGAGTGATAGGTTATAGATCAACTGGAAGAGGATTAATCACTCTATAAAAAGAAGGTATTATAAATAGAAATCAATTCTCATTGTAATAGAGATGTTACCATCCCAATAGTGCTAAGGAATGCATATATTTGAATCCCACTCCTCGCTGTCGATTGTAAATTCACCGATTCGATCTTATTTTACACTATTACATTCAAGTCATTACTGTGGGTAGGCAACATGGACCCTGTTGTGCAAATTGTACATACAACTTAAATTATAATTTATTTCAAGATATACTTGTACCATACCTTGTTGATCTGAATATACTCTTGCTATATATTAAAATAGGAATGCTCTTTGTTTGTAGTGTTAACTTTCTGTGTATCAGATATCTACTGCCCCTTAAGGCTTTAAATTACATCTCTAACGTAAATATGAATTGAAAAATTCCTAAATTATTCACATATTTAAGATAACAGCATACCAATCTTTGTAATATTTTAGTATTTATATATATTTAACAAGTCAGCATAAGTCTGTCATCTTAACACTAGGACCTATAGGAACTCAATTGGTATTTAACCAGGTGTATTTTAGAATTTAGGATTAGGTTTTTTTTAGCTCTCTTATTTTATTATATTGATAAGTTATATTTTATATTTAATTAAGTGCTTACAATAAAAGAAAAAGAATAACTACAATTTATTATAACATGTCAATTACTTTAAAGAACATTATTCCTCCACAACCAAGTACTGAGCGTAATTTCAGTACACATATTGACTACGATGAAGCTACTAATTCTATTGCTTATCCATCAGGAAGAAATGCCTTTATTCGTTCATTAGATAATGATTCAGTTGTTCAATTTACTGGACATGGTTCTAGCAATGTTAACGTTGTCAAGTTCTCACCAATTAAAAATTCACAATATCTATGTTCTGGTGATGCTTCTGGTAAAGTTATTGTTTGGGGTTGGTCTAGCAATGATGATGTTGTTGAAACTATTGTCAAGGCTGAGTATCAAGCTTTAGCAGGTCCGATTTTAGATATTTCTTGGGATTTCGAAGGTAAAAGATTATGTATTGTGGGTGAAGGTCGTGAACAATATGGTATCTTCATCTCATGGGACTCTGGTAATTCCCTTGGTGAAATTTCTGGACATTCAAAACGTATCAATTCATGTCATTTTAAACAGTCAAGACCAATGAGATGTATGACTGTTAGTGATGATGGTTCAGCTGTTTTCTATCAAGGTCCTCCATTTAAATTTACTGCAAGTGACAGAATTCATCATGATCAAGGTAAGTTCATAAGAGATGTAGAATTCTCTCCAAATTCTGGAGATTATGCTGTCTCTGTAGGTTCCGACAGAAAAATATGTTGTTTCGATGGTAAAACTGGTGAATTTATTAAGTATATCGAAGATCCAAATGAAACAATCGAAGGTGGGTTATTTGCTGTATCTTGGGTAGACGAGAAAAGATTTGTCACTGCAAGTGCTGATGCTGCAGTTAGATTATGGAGTGTCGAAGAGCCAAAATGTTTACAGAAATGGCTTATCCCAGAAAGTATTCCTTACGGTAATCAACAAATTGGTGTTATAGCTGCCAAGGATGAGCAAGTGGTTTCTTTATCCCTTGATGGTTCTTTGAACTTCTTCAAAATTGGTAATGATACAGTTGTCAAGACCATTGTTGGTCACAATAAGGGTATTACTGCCCTAACTGTTAACCCATTGGTATCAGGTTCTTATGACGGTAGAGTTATTGAATGGGAGGGTACTCAACCAAAGGCTAATTATTATCACAATAACTTGATTGTTGCCATCGATAGCAGTACTAAAGGGTGTATATCTACTGTTTCTTGGGATGATACTTTGAAAACTAATGGTGTTACTAAATTTGAATTCAATGATCAACCAAGCATTGCAAGTGCTGACGGTACTGGCTCTATCGCTGTAATTGCAGGTGGTGTGACATTGAGTATATTTAATTCAGAAACTGGTGAAGTACTAAATTCCATTGAGTTGGATAGACCAGCATCAGCAATTGATCTACACAAAGATCTAGTTGCTGTTGGTTACGAACATTCAAATATTATTGAAATTTTCAAAGCTACTGAATTGACTAATTCATACAAGTTGAATACTGCATTACAAGCCAAACCATCTTGTATTTCTATCTCACCTTCTGGAAGATATGTTGCTGCTGGTGATGTAAGTGGTAAGATTATTCTATATGATTTAGAAAATAAAGACGTTAAAACTACTAGATGGTCATTCCATACCTCTAAGATAAATTGTATAACTTGGAGACCTAGTGAAGATGGTGAAGAAAATCATGTTGTCACAGGATCCTTGGATACCAACATATTCATTTATTCTGTCGAAAGACCAATGAAGATTGTTAAGTATCTAAATGCCCATAAGGACGGTGTTTCTGTTGTTCAATGGAAGGATACTGATACTATTGTCAGTGCAGGTGCCGATGCATGTATTAAAGAATGGTCTGTTGAAACACAGTAGATGATTTTTAGACTTTTGATTAGCAATATATAAGCTGGTACATATAGTTAGATACATTAAGATTTATGTTTAATAGCATGAAAACTTTGAATAATGAACCTAGACAAAAGAAAGAAAACTTAATTATAATTTATATTTTGATTTATTTAACTCTCTAGACTGATTCAACAGAAAATTAAGTCAGTCCTTTAGAATATTTTATAAAGTTCTTACAAATTGTTCGTATGTTGCTTCACCATTGGTTAAGGGGATTGTTTTCCTTATAGTGTTCTCTGGAGATGCTAGACATTTGCTTATAAAATTAGCAACATCTTCTCTTGAAATTGGAAATGAGGCATCTGTTGATTCATCTAATTTATTCACAGGTAAATATTTACCTGTACCAGTGTTATTATTTAACCAACCTGGTTGTAATATGGTGTAATCAAGATTTGTAGTTCTTATGAAGCAATCAGCAGCTCTCTTTGCAATATAGTAATCACGTAATGAATCGATATTCCACCAGAAATCACGATCATCAGCTTTTATAGCGGATACCAAAACGAATCTTTTAATACCCACTAGTTCACAGGCTTCAGCACTTTTGATACAACCATCTAAATCTACGTTAATTAGTTTATCTAAACCAGAACCACCTGCACCAGCGGTAAATACAACAGCATCGTAACCTTCTATAGCAAATGCGATTTCTCTTGGAGTGGCTGCTTCAATACTTGTTACAGAAGCATCAATTCCTATATCATTTCTGAAATAGGTTGCTTGTTCTTCAGTTCTAACTATTGCCAATGGTTTACCAAATCTCGAATCAGACTTGATAATATTAATTAAACGACGACCAATGTTCCCATTAGCACCTACAACAGCTACTCTAAACATAATTATTAGATGAATTGGTTAATAAATAATGAGGGATGAACTAGTTACTTGCTGAGTATACATATGTATATATGAAGCAATTACCTACTATTAATCTTTTACTGTGGAAACAAATTAAAGTGAGATAGGGGAGGGATTGTTTAAATCTACTCAAGACGTAAAGATAATAGAATTGAACAATTTAATCGAATACTCCAATGGCTTATATATGATTCTAAATCATTATTAATCACTTGTATGAAACATCAGGGAACGATGGTATATATCGATATGACTTAAGAAATCATTGCATTACTAATACAAATATAGACAGAACTTAAACGGCAATGACATTTTCCATTAGGAATAAATCCATATTCAAATTTGGTTGTTGTCATGGCAACGGAATAGCGCAACTAGCCAACCAACCAAATTATAAGCAATTCGAAACGAAATTAAGAATGTAATGTAGGATTTGGTGTAGTTCGAACTGAGTGAACCAAGATATTTATAATAATCATTTTCAAAGGGTGCAATATGGCGGGTAGGATAATAGTATGAAGGTGAAGGTGGAAGTGTAAGATGAGAATGGCAATGGTAATGATGATGACGTTTTACAACGTCATTTTAAATAGAGTGTGATAGAGTATATAGATAATCAAGTTGAAAAAGTGTGTGCTTAAAGCATTGGTTCATCGAGCAGTACAGCTGGGATGTATCTGGTTCCACCACATATTGTAGAATTACAGTACGTTTGGCAACGTTGTGATGCTCATTTATAGCTCTATCTATATATATATATATAGATTGATAGATATAATTACATCACTATATAAAGCGATGTAAGCAGGGTAACAGTGGTGAAACCGAGATGTGTATCACTCTTCACGAACCAAGAGGTTGAATATATATCTTCTCATTTTCGTACAAACGTACACAAACTCGCTCTCTCTTCAATTTTTCAGTTTTTATTCCTCTCAGACTCAGACTCAGACGGAAATTGTGTGTGGATTTTGCCTTTCTTTGGTTTAAATTTTTGTGGCAGAAACAGACCAGAACAGAAGAGGCAACGCTTTAAACAAACAGCTCTCTATATAGTAAGATATAGCATATATAACATATATTATATACATAAGAAGATATATATATATATATAATATATCAGGAGTTACAAAGAGGCTATCCCTATTAATTCACTTTTATAACAGATATCTCAATATAGACTTAGTACTATATATATATCCATATACATATATTTTAGAAAGACTGAACTCCAAGATAGGGCTTTTGTGGATTTTTGCTGAGTGCACTCACTGGTTGGTTCATAAAATATACCTTATTTTATTTTATTTTTTATTTGTAAAAGTTTGATTATTGAAAGTCAGTTTCCTAAAGCTTTTACTTCGATATTCAGTTCAGTTCAGAGGAAGACTGTTTGTGGATTCTAAAATTGTGTTTCCCCCAAGTGTCCAGAGAAATAGAAGTCCCCAAACATCTTAAGTTTTTTGTGTTTTTTTAACAGGATTAGTAAGCTTATATTATAATAAAGAAATTTCACACAATCGCTGGAATTTAAGGATAACCAATTTTGGGAAACAGATATACATTGTTTATTTATTTTCCCCCTCCCTATTCATAATACAATATGAATTTTCTGAGGCCCAGGACCACTACTATTTTAAGAACTTGGTTGCGCCCTAGCAATGCTCGTAAATGTGGTTTCCCTTCACAGTACCATGGTAAAGTACTATTGCATATAAGAAGCTTTCATTTGAAAAATTACCAATTGCAAAATGAAACTGGCTCCAAGAAGAGTAAAGATCCTACAGATGACGATATAGAGGCAATCAAAAAAGATATTCAAAAATTCATCGAGGATACAAAAAATAATGATTCAAAGGAAAAATGGGATGTCGATCGTAAAAATTCAATAGACGAACGTATCAAAAGATTAGAAGAAACTATTCAAAAACAAAAGAATGATAATAACAATGATTCAAAAGTTGTTGATGATGATTATGTTGACTACGATAAAAATGATAAACCAAAAATTGAAAATGATCCTTTGAATTTTGAAAAAAGATTATCAGAAGAATGGAATAAGGAAAAGAAGAATCAAACTCAAACTCAAAATAAAGATAAGAATAATAACGAATTTACCACAAATGAACAAAAACAGAATAATAATAACAACAATAACAATAATAACAATAACAATAATAACAATAACAATTCAAATATTCCCTTTGGTACAAATGGTAACAATGTGAATAATACAGGTTTGTTTCAGTTGGGTTTGGCATTGTTATTAATTTCATTTGTCCTAGATGTTTTTAATTCAGATAGTGAACATAGAGAGATTACTTGGCAAGAATTCCGCGCAAAGCTTCTATCGAAAAATTACGTATCTAAACTAATAGTTATCAATAAGACAAAAGTTCAAGTCGTATTGAATGAAATGGGTAAGGCACAATGTGGCATCAATGGTCAAGATCCTCACTATTATTTCACAATCGGTACCATCGAAAGTTTTGAACACAAGTTAAGTGATGCCCAAAAGGAATTAAGCATTGAAGGTGATTTCGGAATCCCTGTTGTTTACGCCCAACAAGGTAACTGGGTCAAATTTGTATATCAGATTTTACCAACGGCTTTAATGATTGCTGGTATTATTTGGTTAACTAGAAGATCTGCCCAAGCTGCTACCGGTGGACGTAATGGTATCTTTGGTATCAGTCGTTCAAAGGCTAAGCGTTTTAACACAGAAACTGATGTCAAAGTAAAATTTAAAGACGTTGCCGGTTGTGATGAAGCTAAAGAAGAAATTATGGAATTTGTTAGTTTCTTGAAGGAACCAAAGAGATATGAAAAAATGGGTGCTAAAATTCCAAGGGGTGCAATCCTATCTGGTCCACCAGGTACCGGTAAAACTTTACTTGCAAAAGCTACTGCTGGAGAAGCAGGTGTGCCATTTTACTTTGTCTCCGGTTCTGAATTTGTTGAAATGTTTGTAGGTGTAGGAGCTGCTAGAGTCCGTGATTTGTTCAAAACTGCAAAAGAAAATGCGCCATCCATTGTTTTCATCGATGAAATTGATGCAATCGGTAAAGCAAGACAAAAAGGTAACTTTTCTGGTGCTAATGATGAAAGAGAAAATACTTTGAATCAATTATTGGTTGAAATGGATGGTTTCACTACATCAGACCATATTGTTGTTTTGGCTGGTACTAATAGACCAGATATTCTAGATAAGGCTCTTTTAAGACCAGGTAGATTTGACAGACATATTAATATTGATAAACCTGAACTATCAGGCCGTAAAGCGATTTTTGAAGTCCATTTGAAAAAGATTAAGATCGCAGGAGATATTTTTGATTTAAAGAACAGATTGTCTGCATTGACTCCCGGCTTTTCAGGTGCTGATATTGCAAATGTTTGTAATGAAGCTGCATTGATCGCTGCAAGAAATGAAGCTCGTTTTGTAAAATTAGAGCATTTTGAGCAAGCTATTGAAAGAGTTATAGGTGGTGTTGAACGTAAATCAAAATTGTTATCTCCTGAGGAAAAGAAGATTGTTGCTTATCATGAAGCTGGTCATGCTATATGTGGTTGGTTTTTGAAATATGCAGATCCATTATTAAAAGTCAGTATTATTCCAAGAGGCCAAGGTGCTTTGGGTTATGCTCAATATTTGCCAGGTGATATATTTTTATTAAGCGAACAACAACTGCTAGATAGAATCACAATGACATTGGGTGGAAGAGTATCAGAAGAACTTCATTTCCCAAGTGTTACAAGCGGTGCTTCCGATGATTTCCAAAAGGTAACAAGAATGGCTACCGCTATGGTAACTCAGTTAGGTATGAGTCAAAAAATAGGATGGATTAACTTCCAAAAGAAAAATGAAAATGATCTAACAAAACCTTATAGTGAAGAAACTGCCGAGATAGTGGATGCTGAAGTTTATAGAATTGTTCAAGAATGTCATGAGAGATGTGAAAAATTATTGAAAGAGAAATCTGAAGAATTGGAAAGGATAGCTCAACTTCTATTAAAGAAAGAAGTTCTAACTAGAGAAGACATGATCGAACTGGTTGGTAAAAGACCATTCCCAGAAAGAAACGATGCATTTGACAAATATCTGAATGAAACTGAACTAAGAAGAATCAAAAATGTTGAAGAAAGTAAAAGTGAAGATTCATCGGCGCCACAGCCTACTGCATAAATATATTCAAAGAGGTAATTATATGTAAATAAAAGGTAAGATACAAGAAATTAATCGCGAAAAAATCATATGATCATTAAATACCATATTTTAATTTTCTCTACATACATGTAAATAGTCTATACTTTAATACATTACATTATAATTTATAATTATTGTATCAAAACCATACATCTGAACTCAAAAGAATTAATAGAAATAATTACAAATGAGAATACACTAAAAATTTATCAAGTTGAGGTTTGATATTGTTTGATAAAAAAATGCAATGCAATTGGCCCTTAAGTTAGTCAGGTGATTGATGCTTTGGAAACTTTTAAAACTGTCATATGTTGTCTATGCAACCAATACAGAACTCATCAAACGTCATTATTTTTAGACACGGATATTTACTTCACCGAGTTTATTGTTACCAATTTTTTAAGTGGATAAGTTAGAAATAGTTCAGTCAAGCGTTAAAGTCTGATGCAAGGGTATTATGAGGTGAGCGAGCATTTTACTTTCTGGTTATAATTCTTTGTTATTGTGTTTCAAATTAAATTTACCACACTAAAATAACAAGATGCCCATTGTATTCTCCTAGAAGATTCCAGACTTCAATTAAATTACTTATAGCTATATTGTTTAAGAGAATAAAGTGCAGTAATTCTGTATTGTTTAGTTTGCCTAATATGTCACCAATCCTGCTACCCTGCAAGCCAGCAAAACAGTTTCCAAAAAGTTTTTTAAACGTTTTTAGCTGATAGGTTCATGGAAATGCTGTTAACAATGGATATAAACAGAAATCACGATTTTCCACCTAGAAATATAATTCAAATATATCCCTCAAGATAAAATGCCACTATCAATGCAATTCATGGTATATAACAATTAGGACATACAGCATAATAAAATTCTTCCTACTAAATATTTCTCTATTTTATGAAATGTTTGTTATTTGTAAAATGATTTTTATCAAACAACCCGCTTGTACGGTTTTTTCTCCATATACACATATCCGTAAACGGATGCACTGCTTCCGTTTAGACCAGCTTCGGGGCAACCATATACGTGTTCTCAAAATACGACGCAGGAAGGTTGCGTTCCGCAACGGAAGTGTCAGAGCGGCTAATAGTTCCGCTGGTATCCAGTTGCGGTCCGCGTGGCTTCTGCGTATTTTTCTTATAAACAAAAGAAATTTAAGGTTAATGCCATCCTATTCAACAGGGAAAAATGTATATCCTTAATTGGCTTTTCCAATTTTAAAAAATATTGTAGTTTGAACGAAAGATGGATCAGTATTAAGATTATTAAACTGTTCTTGTCTCTGTTTTTACTTGTTTAAGAGCTTCTTTCTAATATTTTTCTTGATATTGCTATAATGTTATGTACTAATTTTGATAAAATGTACGGTGAACAAAATTCCGTGGACTGGAATAAGAATAATATACAGGCAATGTTGACTAAATCCTGCTATTGAATGGGATAGCAAACATGGTACCTAGTTACCATGCAGGATATAATAATGCAAATTGGATGAATTTTTGAAATATAAACTTACTGAAAGGATAATCAATTGATTGAAATTAATGAAGTTCGGATATACTTTTCATTATTATTATATCTATTGGTTTGGTTCTGCTACATGATTGTTTTAAAACAAAATTAACAGAAGAATTCATGGTAAATAATTTAATTAAGATTGAATGTTAAGATAAGAAGTGACCTAGGCACAGGTAAGTCGAAAATTTTGAAAATATAAGTTAGTTTTGCATTGACAATCTGAATTGGAAAGCATTATATCATAGTATTTATAAATTTGTTGTTATTAATAATTTATCCTGGTTATTTCTATCTTCTCCTGCAACTAGTTACATTGGTTTGGGGACAGGGAATTGATTATTACAATCACGATATTGACCTAATTGCTTGCACCAATTATTAGCAAATTATTTGTGAATTTCATAAGGAGTTTTAAAGGCGTAATACGTTTCAATATATTTTAGGTTCTTAGTAACTCAATTTCCAGTTTCCTTTTTGTTTAAATTTGATAAATTTTTCTATTCTGACAAGTATATATTGCCAGATATTTTAACATATTAAACAAAAAAAACACAGGTTTCCTTCCATCAGAATACATTGATTGCGTTGGTACAAAATTGAATTGGAACAATTCAAACAAGAACATTTTCTAAAAATCTACCAATTTTTAAGAATAGTATTGCATTTTTATTTTGATCTTTTTTTTTAACAAGAACGTCACAGTTCTTCATCATTAGAACATATTTTAGAGCATATTAAAGATGGTGGTAATAGATGAATCGACAAGATTACTACCTGATGAACAACATTGTGATGCATTGGATGAGGAATATACAAAATACAATTTAAGTCTGCCGAAATTTCCTATATTGGTATCATTATGGTTAGGTTCTTTTCTATCATCTATAGATTCTACTATTGTTGCGAACATTATGAACAAAGTAGCAGAAGAATTTCAAGAGTCTCAGGAAAAACAATGGATCGCCACAAGTTTTCTTTTAACCAATACTGCATTTCAACCATTATATGGTAAGCTTTCTGATATAACAGGAAGAAAGTTTGCCTTATTGACTGCATTGTCATTTTTTGGTCTAGGATGTTTCCTAACTTCACTCTCTACTAATATTAAGCAATTTGCCATTGCTAGAGCCATATGTGGGATTGGTGGTGGTGGTATTAATGCGATCAGTAGTATTACTGTTGGTGATATTTGTACCGCCAAGGATAGAGGTATCTATCAAGGTTATGCTAATATCGTATTTGGGATGGGTCAATTGCTTGGTGCACCAGTTGGTGGTTTATTTATTGCCACCATAGGATGGAGAGCCCTATTTTGGATCCAGGTCCCTCTGGTGATCATTGCAATTATATTAGGTGAAATGTATGTGAATATTAAATTAGTTCATGTCCCGCCACCTTCTGAAAGATTTAAGTGGAAAAATATATCAAGAATCGACTTTTTGGGATCGTTTACCCTTGTCTCATCAATAACATGTTTTATTATATTAATATCAACTAAGAGCAATGTAATTTTACTGTCATTATTATCAGTATTATCCTTTATTGCATTTATCTACGTCGAATTATACGTTTCAAAAGATAGAATATTGCCATTTGAATTGTTGAAGGGTTCATTTGGATGCAATTCAATTGCAACAGTTATTTCTTCTTACGTCATATTTGGTGAAATCTTCAGATCACCAATATATTTACAATTGGTACAAGATTTCAGCGTTATCAAAACAGGTATTTTCTTGATTTTCCCAGCAATCACAACAGCTATAGGTTCGTTAGTTACAGGTGCTATTTTGAAACGTACAAAATTGGACTTAGCATATTGTTCTTACAAATTGGTGTTATTGGGATTATGT